ATATACAACAGTTAATATACAACAGTTAATATACAACAGTTACCAATATACACAGTTACCAATAGTAGACCTGTCACGTAGCACAGTAGACCAGGGTATGTGGTGGTTCCCTTGGTCCTGGCGGGGCGGGCGTAACCCCGAAGGACTCGGACTTGGGACCGTTCGGAGTTGCTGCCAGCGTTCCCTCCGACGTCCTGGCCGTTCCCCACAGATCCTGGTGGCATTGAGATATACGAGTTTGACAGTGCGGGTGAGCTCAACAATTTCTACACGTACACCACCTGCGAGCGTTTTGTGGGGAATGTCAGCTCACTTCCCTCTAACGGTGATGGGCTTTTTTTTCCAGGCCTGGTCATAAATCCGACGGGCCCATTGAAATAAATATCTCTTGCCATCCGCCAGGAAGCTTTTGCTGTTTTGGTGTAAGCCATCATCATGACATCCTCATCCAGTTCACATCAGCTGAAAGAAATCAGCGAGTTTTACTCCAACGACAACACACAACAGCCGGTTTCCAAGATCAAGACTACTGGGGACGGCGACGAATTCATTCACATTGGGAATCAGAAATTCGACCGTCATGAGTTGATGAGAGCGTTTGGTGGTACGCTTAACCCGGGGTTATCACCACCCCCCAGCCATGAAATGGCCAATCCTGCTGCTTTTGGCTTGTGTGCATTTGCCTTGACTACTTTTACATTATCGTTGTACAACGCCCAGGCAATGGGGGTTAAAGTGCCCGCCGTGGTGCTTGGTTTGACGTGTTTTTACGGGGGTGCGGTGCAGTTTTTGTCGGGGGTTTGGGAGTTGGTTGTTGGTAACTGTTTTGCCGGTACGGCTTTGGTTAGTTATGGTAGTTTCTGGTTGAGTTATAGTTGTATTACCATCAAGGCCTTTGGGGTCAGTGCTGCTTATGAGGACCCCACCATGTTGGCCAATGCCATTGGTTTTTTCTTGATGGGCTGGGCCATCTTCACCTTTTTGTTGGTTTTGGTGACTTTGAAGTCGACGGTGGCCTTTTTCTGCTTGTTTTTCTTTCTTGATTTGACCTTTATCTTGTTGGCTGCCGGCGAGTTCAGCGGCAACGTTGGTGTGACCCGTGCCGGTGGGGTCATTGGCATCATTGCCGCCTTCTGGGGGTTCTACAACGCGTACGCCGGGGTCGCCAACAGATCCAACAGTTACTTTATTCCTCATGTCATTCCCTTAACTAGAGATTAATGGTTTTTTGTTTGTTTTTTTTTTGTTTTTGCAACATTTCTTATGCCCTTGTTATGTAATCAAGAGTAACTTCTTATGTAATTGAAATACACGTGACTGGTCTCGTGACTAGCAAGCTAAATGTACGGATGTTTCTCTGTTGTGGGAACCCACGTGCGGTGCAAAGAGCTAATTTTGTACCCTGCTTAAAACAATGTTTTATTACTTAATAACTTTATTTAATTAAAGTAATAAAGGGTATTGGATATATATATAAACCTTTAGGTCGGACAATCTAACAGGGGAAACTTTTCCATCATCAGCATGTCCTCCACTAATAAGAGAATTGCTTTACCAGCAAGAGTCGAGCCAAAGGTTTTCTTTGCTAACGAAAGAACCTTTTTATCATGGTTAAATTTCACGGTTATATTAGGGTCTTTGGGAGTTGGTTTATTGAATTTTGGGGATCAAATTGGTAGAATCAGTGCTGGGTTATTTACTTTTATTGCCATGTTTACCATGGCTTATGCTTTAGTGACTTATCATTGGAGAGCAAAAGCAATTAGATTGAGAGGTTCTGGTCCTTACGATGACAGATTTGGTCCAACCATGTTGTGTTTGTTTTTACTTGTTGCGGTTGTGATTAACTTTATTTTAAGAATTAGAGCTTAATAATTTTCATTTCTTCATTTGCATTTTTATAAAAAACTATTTAATATTATTCATTCTTTGTAGGTTCTTTTCAAGTAGCGGTATTTCTTTAAGAAGTATAGCGATTCCAATTCTGGATTGAGTTAGTGAGTGGGTTAAGCTTTCGTTTGGTTAAAACATACCTTTGATGATGTAGTTCCCTTTGGCTAAGGCTTGGGTTAGATCGTGGTCATTTTCCACCCTGGTATTACGAAACCCCCGTTTGGCCATTTCAATGAACTTGGGGTATCCTCCCAGGTCAACGGGGTAGTCTTTGCCCATGTAAACCAAGGTTTTAAACAATTGTCTTATCTTTGGATCCATGAGGAAGTGTTGTAGGTATTTTTTTCAAAAGTGCACTTCATCTATTAAATAACTAATAAATAACTAATAAATAACTACTCCATAGTTACACCACTACTTATAATGGACAGGGGATTCAAGCCGGCCCGGATCGTGGCCTTGTTCTTGGTGGAGTTTGATATGTCTCAAGGGTATAAGATTGTTTGGGAGAAGTCAAAGGATATCAATTTGAACGGGTTGGATTATAAATGTTTACCATCAGGAATACATAATTATGATTCCACCAATATAGTATTAAGCCATTTCGATAAACAATTGTATTATGGATTGGCCCGGTTTCGCCAATTCAACACTAATCATGAAGGAGAAATGGATAGGTCCAAGATTAAAATGTACTCGTTGGGGATATTAACCAACCCACTAAATGATGAAAAAATTAATCAGTTTTCTAATTTTGGCTGGGAATATATCGATCTACTCGATGAATTATTGATCCAATATAATGAGACCGGTAATGAAACGGTTTTCGAAGAGTTTTTCAATTCAAACCATCAATTCAATCAAGTTAATTTGATCAATCACCCACTCACAAAATTACCAAAATTTTTCTTAATCTTCGGACCGTTGATCTTCCCCATTATAAAGAAATGTTTAATTGGGCAGAATGGATTGATTTTCGATAACATCAATCACGATCATGACTCGGTTGATTTTTTCGATAATAATTGTTTCAATTATCTAATATCATTGTTAAGTTTAATACCAAAAGATGTTAACTTGAAAATGGCCCCCAACCCAAATACTTCTACTAGACCAATATACCAAGTAGGATTACCCGATGACGCTTTCTTAAGAAATGAACAGGGGTTCATTGGGTCCACTAATGACGATATGATGAAAACAATTAAACAAATATACGATTACCAAATACAAATCGAACCAAATTATCAAGATAATGAAAAATATGAAAGGGTGACTCTCACCAATGAAAACAATCCCATTAAATCAACCAAGAAAGAATACCTCTATTTCAAAATAATTTATAAAGAATTATATAAATTCGAATCATATGATGACGATTCTTCAATCAACACGTTTAATTCCAAATTCAAGTTGAACGAACAAGAACCAAGCTGGTGGTTAAACCAGGCTACAAATCCAATTTCCTGGAGTGAATACATTTGGTCGGCTTTCAGCTGGTTTGCTAGTGCTGGTAACATCGAACCTTGTTTGAATCATCCAGAAGATGAGTCAAATGATTTACTGAAGGAATCCATAACCCAATTGATTCGAATCGTGGGGTATTTCCATAAACTAACCAAAAAATGGTTTCAAATCATTGATGAAATAATTGAAGATCAATTATTAGAACTATATCCAAATCTCGATTCATCCAATAATATCTGGGAAAAAATCAATGATAAAATCCTGGTGGATCTAACTTATCAAGATATCATTGACTTGGAACTAGATCCTTATTCGGCTCAAGATTTAGACTTCATTACAAACTTTGTTTTAAAATATTGGAATCACGTAGTCGATGATGTCAATATCGGCATTGGAATCCATGGCTTCTGCTGTTAAACTATATACTATATAACATTATATATTCTTATACTCTCACTACTTATACTCTCACTACTTATACTCTCACTACTTCTACTCTCACTACTTATACTCTCACTACTTCTACTCTCACTACTTCTACTCTCACTACCTACAATCCGATCCTCTCTTCACTACCAACTATCTGGACTCAACCAGTTGACGTAAAACATTGTGGAACCATTTCCACTGAGGTCACCTAATCCAATTCCGAACAAAGTTCGTGGAAACCGCACCAAAAGTCAAAAATTACAATTTGAACAAAAAAAAAGTAAATAAAGAATAGATAAACGATTCAAATTTGTTCAACTCTCTCTCTTTTTCACATCTTTCTCGGATAACTATACCAGATCAATCGTATTGATTCATTGGACACCATTGGATTTGTTGATTCTGCCCTGCTCGGTGATATACTGGTTGTCCATCCGCCTATTGATATAGAACAAAAGAAAAATAAAACCCCCACTGGTGAGTGATACGGCTATTCATTTTGTTATTGGTGAATTGACTTAATAATTGGGCCGGTGTTCATTTTATTCCATTTCATCAAGCTAAGTTTTTGGTTACTGGGTTTTATTCCTTTAGTATTTGGAATATTGCAATTGGTTTTAAATAAAACTAATTTTTCAATCATTTCAAACAACGCCTCAAAAGGGGTTAGCTAGATTTACAGTCGATTTCTGATCCAATTGAGAGTCTTAGGACGTTTATGCTTGGAGACAAAGGTCAGGTTCTTGTTTTCCCTCCATACGTTTGCACTTAAATAGCATCAAAGTATCGTGGTGATAATTTTCAATAGTATAACAGCAAATAATTGATCATACTATAGAACCGAAACCGAAAAAAGAAAAAAAAAAAAAAGAAAAAAAAAAAAATACTTCCTTATATATACATATACATATTTTAAACAAAAAGAGGGAAAGGAAACTAGTTTTGCTATAAGATGAAGGGTAATAATAATAATAGTAATAACCGGAATAACCAGAAGTCCGGCAATGGAAGCAATAATAGTAATAACGGACATCGTCGTTCTAATTCCCGTTTCAATGGGAATTCTCAGCCTTCGTCTACTTCTTCAGAATCAAACTTGAATAATGAACGTTTGCTATTTTTGATTTCAAAATCAATTGGCCAAACCGCAGTGGCTACCCTCACTTCTGGTGCTCGCTATCAAGGAACCTTGTTAAGTAGTGATATATCTGCTCTGGGCTCGGCTCCTTTATCAGTCATTTTAGCTAAGCCTGCCATTGTATCTAAATCGAAAACTGATGAAAAAACTAAGGCTGATTCTAATGACCTTCCCGAAAAAATGGCTATAGATGCTGAAGACCTTATTGATTTAGAAGTAGCCGGAATTAATATTGGTAAAGATCAACTGTCTCAACAGAATAAACCAGTCTCTCAACCTCAACCACAACAACAGAAAAGTCAACTGAAATCTCCAAGTTATGCTGCTGCCGCTGCTGCTGCTGCTCCACCACCTCAACCAGCCCCACCACCTCAATCACATCGTGCACAAAATAAATCTACGACCTCCAATAAATCCGAAAATAAATTCAAAACTGATTCTGACATCTCATCGCAATTTCAATTCAGAGAACGTGAATTACAAAGATGGGTTCCCGATGATGATGGGACGCAAACCGGGTTGGATGATGAAACGTTTGGTGATCTTGGGAGCTCCTCCGGTTCTGGGGCTTGGGATCAATTCAAAGTTAACGAAGAAAAATTTGGGGTCGAATCTTCTTATGATGAGCATTTATATACTACTCGTATCAATACTTCAGCTCCTGATTTTAAAGAACGTGTTGAAAGAGCTGAACGTTTGGCAAGAGAAATTGAAAGTCAATCAACTACTGATCGTCATATTTTAGAAGAAAGAGGTTTGGAAGTCGATTACGGTGATGAAGATGAAGAAGATAAATATTCAGGTGTTGATAGAAGAGGTGATGAATTAATGGCCGCTTTAAGAAATGCTAGTATCTCAAATGATTCTAGCTCCAAAAATTTCGCCCCTGGTAAGTATGTTCCTCCTAAACATAGAGCTGCTCAATATCATAATGATCCTGCAATTGTTTCTAGTTCTGCTACTAAAAGACAAGCAGAAGCTGCTTCTGCTCAACAACAATCTGATAATCAACAATCAAAAGTTCCTGCCAAACCTGATTCTACTTCAAGTCGTGCTCCTGCTGTTCCTACTAAGCCAAACTCTATCCCTCCAAAACCTCCCGTTGCTAACCAACATAACGAATCTTTTAGATTGAATGCACAAAGTGAAATTAATTCATTGAGAGAGTTTAGCGCTAATTTTAAGATTCCCCATAAAATGCCTACTGACTTATTACCTATATTAGCCAAAGACAAATTAAAACAAGATGAGATTTTGAAAAAACAACAAGAAACTCAAAGAAGAAAAGAACTTTTGGCTCAAGAAAAACAAAAACAGGAAGAGGCTAAAGATTTAAAACAAAAAAGTCAATCGTCAATCCCTTCAATTCCTCCAAATCAAGCCCAATCACAAAAAAGTCAACATACATCTCCAAGTCCAAAACAACATTCTTCTCAACCTGCTACTCAGCAACCAACCCCTCAAGCTCAAAAGAAAAAAATGGATCCTACAAAGCCAGCTTTCAAACTTAATCCTAAAGCTGCCGTCTTTACCCCATCTCAAAAACATAATCAATTATCACCAAACCCTCCAAAAGCTCAATATCAAAGGTCCCCAATCAATCCGTCGCCACGTATGAATAACCAAAGACCATATAGTAGCGGTAGTGTTTCGAATTCATCAACATCGGGCTCATCCAAAAGACACTATCAAATTAATCCAGTTGACTTCTTTGGTGGTGCAGATAAAATTCCAACAAAAGAAGGTCAGGAAGAAAAAATAAAGAAATTCAAATCTTCATTCAACAATTTTGTCACTGCCCAAGTTAAACATGAGGATAAATCATCTCCCTTATTCCTCGAGAAGTCTTTCCAAACTCCTCCAACTTGGACTTCAACTATCGATGGTGGTTATGAAACTTTATTCCCTTCACCTTCTGTCGCTGCTAAGCCAATGGGTAATATGATGCTTCCAGCTACTCCTTCATTACCATTTGTTCCAAATGTAATGATGAATCCAAATCATCCAGGTGCTGCAAATCATGGCTTACCAGGACCTGGTTATCCAACTGCTCCAAATGGTTCTAAGTTCCCGCTCTCGCCGCAACAGCAACAACAGCAACAACAACAGCAAGCTGCTGCTATGGCACATTTCCAACAACAACAATTTCATGCAGCAATGCTCTACCAACAACAACAATTCCAAGGTGGAATCCCCCCAGGCCAACCTCCGGTGCCAATGTATATGCCAGGTGCTGAAGCTTCTCCGTTCATCCCTCCTGGTGGCTTTATGATGCCTCCTGGTGGTGCCTATGTTGGTGGTGGAAGTCCAGTTAATGTTAATGCTATGATGTTTGGTGGTGCAGGTGGAAATAGTCCTGCCCCATACGGTGACATGTCTTCACATAATTATGGAAATCATAATCATGGGAATGGAGGTAATAGAAGATTCAATAACCACGGAGGCAAAAGGGGTAGCAATAACTGATTTTGCTTTTCTTAGTTATAAAAATAAGAATAAATCATGTATCATATGATCAAAAGGAATAAAACTTTAGAAATAAACAAAAATTAAAAATTAAAGGTAAATAAAATAACAAATAGCAAAGGTCATAAAACAGACCGGTTTGAGGTTCATTTAAGATGGTAGTGATGTTCAGATTCTGATGCGTACAGTTTGTCCTTGATTTATCAGCTTGACTAAAGACGCTTGTCATGAATATCTAGTTTTATTAACCTCATCATCCTTTGGTTCATAATATAGAGACTTGTTTTTTTTGTTTTTTTTTTTGGCAAGATTTGGTTAGCATTATCACATTCTCATTTCGTCTAGTTTTATTGACATGTAGCTATTTTAACATATACTTTTTATAAAACACTGTTGTAGAGGTTGTAGTTTAGCAGTATTTTGCGGCCTATTCTTTTGTCATTTTTGTTGAAATTTTGTCAAAATTATTTCCGAGAAACAGAGAAAACAATAAAACTCCTACAGATCTGTTTTGACAATTCCCTAGTGTCACTATATTAACATCCTTGACTTTATCTAAAGCAAACTAGAATCAGTGCCTTGACACTCTTTCAATTAGAAGTAAAAGGTCAAAAAAAAGTATATGCAGTACTTTTTTTTTGCTCAATATGAGAACCAATATTTCGATTTGTTGATAGTTTTAAGTAGAGATCCACTAGAGTTATCCATATTCAGCCAACTATCAAGATCCAATAAAGATGAGTGAGGGTGCTTTACTCCGGGTGTCCAACTTTATAAAGGTTGAGGATGATTTAGAGAAAATACTGGAATTGAAGCAGCAATTTTTGAAAGAGAAAAGCACCATTGACACCAAGTTAACTAGTACCATGAAGACCCAAACAGATTCAGTGTTTATGAATATGAATAAATTGAAAACTTCAGCGGATAAGCTCGGTTTGATCAAATCGAATTTGGGTAAGATCAACGAAATATATGATGCTTCTATTACTGATATCAAAGACTATGATACTATTAAAAAGATGACAGCTGTGAACCAATTCTTACTTCAAGTTGAAAACTTGTCTCGTGATGTTTCAAAATTCAAGCAGTACATAGCGTATATCAATCAATTAATCCAAGAAGAGTTTGAAATAATTAGTGAGGATATTGCTTATCCGATGGAGAATCTCCTCAAGATTCATTTCAATTTAACCCAAGCAAGAAATCTTCAAGACTACCTTGAAAAGGAGTCCACTAACTTATCGGATGATCTCAAGTCTATTGTACAGAAAATTGTTGCTCCAATGAAGGCAACCGTAAGAAAATTTGACGAATTGTTACGAGAGGTTATTATAAGTATGACTGAGTCACTAAAAGATGGAAATTCAGAGTTAGTTTTTAAATTAATCAAGGTTATTGAATTCGAAGCAAATGAGGATTTGAAGTTTCAATTAATGGAAAACTTAGATTTGAACAAATCAAAAGATATCAATAGTATAAATTACTCTACATACAGAGGTTCAAGAAGACATTACAAGAAATTTTTCTTTGATAAGTTGGAAGAAAGTCTTGCCGATACTTTTAATAAATGTGTTGAGCATTTCCAGGATGACAAAATGCAAGTTTATGATAACTTGAATTGGCTTGAAGATGAACTTGTATTTGTTGTTGACCGTTTAGCTCCAATTTTTCCTATTAGATGGCAAATAAGTAATTTCATTCAAAACGTTTATTACAATAAGCTACATAAATTTACAATGGAAGTTATAAATTCTGATCCGCCAGCTGAAGATTTAATGAAAATCTTATCTTATGATTCTCATTACAGTAATTTCATCACAGCATTACATACCTCGCCAGAAGAAGAAGGTGGCTCTAATAGAAAGTCTATAATCAAAAAAGAACAAAAATCTATTATTGGTGATGAATTGAAGAATGTTGTGTTGGAGGATTATTTGAAAGTCTTTTGTGGTAAAATGGATGAGTGGAATGACAATTTGATGAAACAAGAAACAGAAACCTTTTCCTCTAGAGATGATCCTCCAGATCTTTATAATTACCATCAAGTTATTGAAGATCAAGACGCTCAAGAGGAAATGATCTTAATTGAAATTAATACAGAAGTTTTTGTGCTACCCGACTTCAAGACTCCTTTAAGTATGTTAAAAGAGCAAGCAGATGTTGCCGCTGATTCGGGTTATGGTAAGATTCTTGTTGGTGTTATTGAAAATTGGTCGCAATGTTATATAAAAAGAGCTGTAAATTATCAAACAATGATCGAAGAAGAATTTGATAAGTACATGTCAGTTTACAACAATGAGAGATTTCTCATCAAAGAAAGCAAAACCAAAAATTTATTCAGACGTCCTTCAGCTCCCCGTCCAGCATATGAAGATATTGAAAACATGACTGAAGAGGAATTAGCCCAAATATCTAAACCATGTCTTCTCGAATACTTGGTTGCATTAGGTAACACTTACGAAATCAATACTGATAGATTGCAAGATAAGTTTTTACCAACTTACAAAGGAAAAGTTCACTCTAGTTATCAAGGCAGAATTGAACAAGCTTTTGAAGATACCTTAACCCCAAGTACTGAATTAAATGCTCAGGTTATTCGTATGCTTGTTGATATTATCGTTAATGATTTATACCCAGCCTTGTCAAATGTCTTCACCAAATCCTGGTATGATGATGATAAAGCCAAAAACATGGATGAACCAGATATGGCAGATCAAATTGTAGAAACAATATGTGACTATATGGCAGAAATGAGAAGTTATGCAACTTATGAATTATATTCAGTCACCTTTAATATATTGATGGACGCAGTTGTTTCCACCTATATTAGAATGGGATTTGAGAATATATTACACGGAAGTGGTAAAAAGATTGATCCAAAAGCTGTGAAAAAATACAAATCATTTAGAGATGGAATTGAAAGAGACATTGCCAAATTTTATACTGCTTTAGAACCATTGGTTACTAGAAAGGATGGTTACTATTTGGTGACTAGTTTAAGAGCAATTGAACTTCTTGGTGAATTTGCAACTTGTGATGATCCAGCTGAAATTGCACCGGAGATCTGGGAGCATGAAATCTTGGAAAATTTTTACTACTGTACTACAGATTACGTTAAGGGTATTTTATTATGTCGTAAGGATATGGATAACAAACAAGTTAATATGATTGTTTCCCATTTAAGTGAACGTCAAAAAGAATATCATGCAAATGTCGAGCCTCCTGCTATGCCAATAAGTACTTTGAATAATTTTTTCTACAATTAGAAGAAATAGTTTGTGAATGATTAGAATAAACGAATTTTTTTATAAAAAAAATAATGTAGAGGAAAAGAACTGAATATAGTCATGAGTTAAAACTATTAACAAGGTTTTAAGCAAAGCTCCCAAACATAAAGCCGGTTTATGTGAAGATTCTAAATTTTATTCATTATTATCAAAGAGGTACAAAGAGCCACTGTAGGATCAATTTTAGCCTGATCAATTTCGATTAAATATTCATGAGGACGATCACCTCTAATTATATTAGCGACATCTTTCATGTTACCCTTTCGATCCACTCTTTTCAAGTGACCAGATGAAGGATTCCACCTATAAGAGTTATAATTTTTATCGTGTTGAAGTTTGAATTCAAAGAAATTTTTAGTGAGCTTTGAAGAGACGTGAACTTTTTCACCTGTCTTCAAAGTGTGATCATTGAAATCTAAAGTTTTAGTATCACTAAGACCTGAAATATCAGAAAGTCTTCTTTCATAAGCAGAAGAAATCTTCCGTGCTCTTGTAGGTAAACTTTGACTTATATCATCACCCTCAATTATATTTGAATTTTCAAACTCAGATAAATTGAATTTAATGAGAATGGATTGATATAGAGATTTTTGAGAATCTTTATGATTCAAAGTGCCCCTGTCACTAGTATCAAAAGTCAGACCAGTGACATTTGAGAAATCATTCTTAGAAACTGAATCATTTTGATCCTCACTCGGATTATTGGTAAGAATTTCAACATAACCACCGTTTCCCACGTTAGCATTATAAACCGATGCCACTCTATTATTTGAAGGGTGGTTTAAGTTTTCAAAATAGTAGTCATGAATCCAGAATAAATTATCGGAATGTAATCTAACACTAGGTTTGACAAATCTAAATCTTATCGTATTTGATTCAGTATCCAGTACATTTATGACTTTAGCTGGTTTAGTATTATCTGGTTGCAATTTATACAAAATAAGTTGCTCTTTATCATCAGTGTGTTCTTTATCATCAGTGTGTTCTTTATCGTCATTATGTACCTCATCATCCACAGGATGATTTTGAATCTCATTAGGAGTCAGTTGAGGATGCCGTATCACAGACAGGGATCTCAGTTCAGCAGGAGTTAGATTTGGACTCGATTGAGGTCGGGCCTTGAGAGATGAGGAATCTATAGACGACCATCTCTCATGTCTTTGGTATAACTTATTAGACTTATCCTTCAGGCTATTATGTCTCCTTGAACGGGCCTGTTCTATTCTTCTTCGGGAGGCACAAAAATACGTCACACTCCCAGTCACAGATGTCACACTCCAAACTGAAACCACTCCGATCGTGATAATACTTATCATGATTCAATCTTCCAGGATGGGAATTTAGGATAGAGAAGTGTGTGTGGTCTTTGACTTTATTTTTTTTTTTTTCGAATAAACTTGATATTGATTTGGATTCTTAAAGTATAAATATCTCAGTAAATAAGGAGAAATGGATGATGGGTATGAAGTAATTCTACCCAACACAAAACAGTTGTATGGAAAGACAAACTAGCCAAAATCTATATCGACAATTCAACTTCCAGGGTCGATGATACTGTGAAAAATAAATAAGAATAACAATAATAACAAAAATAAATAGTTAGCCAAAGTAGTTCTTTTAAAAATCGGAATACGATCGTTCAAGATAACCTTCAGTTTCCCTCTTCCAATATTCTTCTGTTGTTTGGGTCTGGTTGAGTAAAATTCACCTTCTTTGTTCAAAACACGCACCAATTGCTTTGTAAAACGGTGTTTTGGTCGTTTGTTTAGTTCGGCTGTTTGCAAAGACGCGGATTTTTATTGTTTTGATGGATTTTTTTTTTTTGTTTTGTTAGCGAAGCTAACGCATCAACTTAGACTGCCATTTGCAGACACCAAGGAAGATGTCTTTGGGTCTGGAGCATTGCAGGAGCAAACCCTTAAAGCTCAGTCTTCTTCAGAGGAAGAGCCGTAACCGTCAAGGATACCCGCGTTCCCAGAGGCGGTGGTATTATTTGGAGCTTTGGCTGAAGACATAGAGTTATTCGAAGTTGAAGTAGACTTATTTAAAGTATTTGTTGAAGTATTTGAGGAGCTGGTGACTGTGGGCTTCTTTTTGATGAGGATAGTGGAGGACACGGTTGGTTTGGGACATGGTAGGTGCTTTGGCTGTTCGTCAGGAGTCGTATTTGGAGTATCAGATGGAGTATCAGATGGAGTATCCGGTTCATCCGAAGGGTTTTTCTTCAATTTCTTGAAGGCCCTTTTCGCAAGTTCTTCGTCTTCATCTTCATTAAGTTTCTCTTGTAAGGATTGAAGACTAGTTATTTTCTGTTGTATATCAGCGGTCAATTTATCTGAACCGCCCAGTTGGGCGATTTCTCTATTTCTTCGTTGTAATGCTTCAAGATGTTCATTGATCTCCTGTTGTTGTATCTGGCCTAGCAATTTATCCTGTAAGTTTTCCATGACATCTTTGGAAGAATCTTTTGAGTTCAGTTTCCAAAAAGGATTCTTATTACGTTTTTCCTTTTCCAATTGGAATAGTTTATTTTCCTGTTCTTCTTTTTCCAAGCGCTCCAATATTTGGGTTTCGGATTCCACTTCCTTGACTTCTTTTTCCACTTGGGTTTTAGTAGTTGATTCATAGTTTCTAACTGCACCTTGATCCGGGATAAATCCCGCCGATCTATAGTTGGTTTTGAATGAAATATTATTATTACACCGAGGACATGCTATATGGAACCTCAAGATCTTGAAATTCATATATTTCTCTCCGGTATCTTCTTTTCTTGCATTGAACTTTCTTCGATGAGCAATGTATTCGTTACATTTTAGGCATCGCATAGAATAGGGCGCCATTAATCGAACTTTCTCCACCTTGGGCTTGAGTGCCTTGGCCTTCTTCGGCACTTTGGAAGGATCATAGTCTGGCGGATAGTATTTGTTTATGCTTTTCCTTTCTGACATACTTCTTGACGTAGGTGAACCCTTGATGATTTAGTTATTTTGATGCTTTTTTTTTTTTTTTTTTTTTTTTTTTTTTTTTTATTTTTTTGTTACTGTACGAAAAGCTAATTTGTTTTGTTTGGGCAAATGAACAAACACCCGTGCACCGAGGTGAACTTAATACAACTACAATTATCAGTAGCAACAGCTTTACAAACTACATTAAAAGATTATAATATACAATAAATGTTTTATTTGTGATTGTGGATTTTTGTGTTTTTTGTTTTTTTTTGTTAATAATTATTAAAGTAGATGATGCACCCCAAAACAACAACTAAAAAATCATCAAGTTGAAAGAAAGAAAAGTAAACCAATAAAGAAACATGAAAAAGAGAAAGAACAAAATAAAGACAACAAATCACAAATGACAGGAATTATATTATATTATATTCTATACAAGGTCTGATAAAAAGAAGCCAAATTTCGAATTCTCTTCTCCATGTTATAAATTCATTGATTAACTTAATCAGCGTTTCTTCTAGCAGCTCTCTTGGCAGCACGACGTTGAGTACCAAAGATTTTCTTTTCTCTGTTCTTCTTTTGTTTTCTTTGTTGTCTGGATGGTTTTTCAACTTTTTCAGCTAAACCGTATCTAACTAATCTGTAAGCTGGTTCGAATTTTTTGGCATCAGCAACAGATTGGTAGATTAAACCGAAACCGGTAGATTTACCACCACCGAATTGGGTTCTGAAACCAAAAACAGAAACAGCATCTTTTTCGGCTTTGTAAATTTCAGCTAATCTGTCACGTAATTCATCTTTAGAGACGTTAGCTCTGTTTGGATGTAAGACATCAATGACAAATTGTCTTCTGGCCAATAATGGGTTGGAAATAACTTTACGAGTTCTAATGGTAACGGAATCACTCTAAAAAGAAAATGTTAGTACGGTAATCTTGTTTACTCCCTTGCTAGATCTTCTATCCTATTCATTCATCAAGGCCCTTCTGGGTCAATTTCAAAAATTTTTCACTCAACTTCAGCCATCGACAACAACCTCCTCTTCAATAAAAGTCCTGTCTTCCTCTTGCATATCTAGCGCCGGGTCAAACCATCTTTCGTGGGTATGGACATACCATTTTGGATGATATTTCTGTTGATGTGTGGTAAAAAGTAGTATATCAAACAACTCTAATAGAGGGTTAAAAATTTCAATAAAATCCAGTGAAAACTTTTGTTAGTTTTTTCCTCATTTTTTTTTTCTTTTTTCCTCAGTTAAGCCTTTCACTTAGTGAAAATCTTTTTTTTTTTTGTTTTGTAAGAGAAAACCGCACATGCAGGAGCAGTCCGCCCTCGAAAAGCTGCTTATGTAATAGTTTGGCGTGTGGGTACCGTAAAGTAAAAGAGCAGTCACAGATCACGTGTGCGCGGCCGGTTGCACTAATTGCAGCCATGGCTCGAGGTGCCGGAGGTATTCACTTGATGTGATGGTTGATTCGTGGATGTTGTTGGATGTCTGGAGGTGTTAGACTGGCTGGGGCTCTCTGGTGGGTCCTGGTATTGCTAATTGACGGCGATGCTGTTGTTCATGGTGTATTTACTTAGTTTTGCATCAATTTGTAGATAATTTGAAGATTATTTGCAGATAATTTGAAGATTATTTGTAGATAATTTGAAGATTATTTGTAGATTGTTTGTAGATTGTTTGTAGGTTATTAAACTGATTTACAATCCATTGGGATGGTTCTTGATACAGAGTCATCTCAATGGCCCCCCATTGAATTGTTCGAGCGTGCAACATGGAAGGGAACCTTTTGGAATACGCTTGCGTGGTATTGGTTGTCGGTATGTATATGGGTATGTATGTACGGATGTTTTATCTAATCATAATCCTACATATAACCTTTGATGCTTGTTTTCAAGATTGAGCTCATCGCTGGTTTATCAGTACCTTGTTGATTGCAACGATAAAGACCCTCGCCCGGACGCATTTCAAATGGTATAGATCTTGATCCTCCATTTTACTCAGCTTCACCAAAATGTCCCAACGAAGATGGATCAAAGGTCCTATCTGTGGGGTTGACAATTGTAGATCGAGACTATATACCTCGAACGCTGGTCAAAAACTATGTCAATATGGTCATATCAAAGAAGGGGATATCGAAATCAACGATGACATGGATGACAATTATGTTCCAACTAGAACCCTTAACTTTCAAATATCGGAAGACGGAACGGTAGTAAATCTGCAACAGTCTCAACAAAATAATTCTGATAAGGGGAAACGTGAATTTGGTCAAAAGGGTCGTCTTTTATATTACCAATGCTTACAAATCTACTTGAAAAAACAAATTCCTTGCATAATTGACCAGTTATTCCCAATCCCAAAGGAAACCAAATTAGATTTAGAAAAAAAATTAAATCAAATCTGTAAACTCTATTGGGTCAAGCTTCTTAAATACACTCATAATAATCTCAAATCCTATAGAACTGATGTCCACTTAATTGTTCCTCTTGATATCATCGCGTTGATATACCTTGCATTCATAAAGTTAAATTACTACAACGTCTACATTTCTGATTTCGCTTTTTTAATCAAATATAATAAGATTCCATACTCGAGAACAAGACATCTTTTCCCGAAACACCTTATGAAACGATTCCCCCAGGAATACTTTAATCGTTTAGAACCAGCAAGACTACCCGAACAAGATATCTTTGTCAACAAAGTCTTGAAACTAGCCCCAATCATCTTAGATTCAAACACTCTTACTCAATCGTTGAATTACTATTATCCTTTCATATTCAGAATACTAAGCACTTGTCTATTGCTACCCAACGCTCCAGAGTTGATGGTGATGATTCATAGATTTTGCCATCAAGAACTCAAAGACCAAGAATTGACAATCAATTATGATGCTGACCTAACACGGGCAGATCGCTTCGTCCAGTTCCCCGAGGTCAAACTCGCAGGAATAATAGTCTTTGTAATCAAACTTCATTTTGTGTTTGGGGGTGCCCTGTGTCTGTCCTACAAAATAGATTACAATAAATGGCTATCGACGGTGGAAAAATACGACTTACAAAATGAAATCCCTTTAATTGGATCATCTACTTCAAGTGACTTACTTTCCTATTCTGATACAAAGATCACCGAATATTGTAAATGGGTTTATAATAGCATTGTTCCTTATGCCCATAAAGAAGCAGATGACCCAGCTAATCAAAATGACTTGGCTGAAGAAGACCATGCTGATATCCCACTACTGGAAAAACGTCTTTACCAAATCTTTAACTTTGACCAATCATCATTTAGTCTTCAAGAAGATGAGGTGACCTCATCCCAAACCCCATTATCAAATATAGACTTCATTAGCAGAATAGCTCTTTTGAGCTCGACATCAAAGCTAAATCGTTCCATCAGGGCCGAAGATTCGCAAACCATCGAATCTTTCTTGATTAAAAAGTTGGCTGATTATATCAACGTATCGCCAACCTCCATCAAAAAGTCCTACCTCATCATCGAATCAATTATTGCTAACTCCCTGTCTGAAAATGCTAATTTTGAAATCATCAACTCTTCCACAAAACTTTCACAACGTCCCCGTTCAGCATCTCCATCGTCTGAACCCTTTTCTGCATAACACTGCATATATACATAGAATTCTAGCATTTATATAGTCTCATGGCATTACTCTTGAATAGACTTGTAGATTTAGCACCCATTTCAAGACGCGTTCAAAGTCCTGCACATCAAAGAGCCTCTTAACAAAAAAAAAAAAAAATTGAAAAAAAAAACAATTAAAGATCAATTAAAGTCCATATTCTATTGAATTACTGAAGAAAACATTGGACAATGTCATCGGAACTGCCTCATGCTGGTGATAAGAGCGATCCTGGCAACTCACCATCGCAGCCACGTCGGGTTACACGCTTGCTGCTAAGGAATGGTTCACGTGGTCCTTCACCGGAGCCAATGCTTAATGATGAAGAGAAAGATAGAGAGGTCTCAAATACAACTGAAAATTATACGGTTGCAGAAGTGCCAGGTCTTGAAAACGTTGGAAGTGAGACAGTGAATCAATTGTTAGAATCTACTTTCGACTCAGAGTCTAATAATAATGGATCAGGTACTACAATGGGACAAGATTCAAAGGGCTTGAGAGATGAGAATGTGAATGCCGCTGATCGTCCTTCTACTACTAGTACCTCGGGGCCTTTACTGCTGGACAGACAAGAGGTCGAAAATATAGGAAAAGATACCGAATCTAATTATATTCCTACACAAGCTGACGATACTATTGCAGACACTAGTAGAGGAAAAGCTATATATGGAGGGGATACACAGAATGACAAGAATGCAAATATCCACAGGGTACACATTCCGCAGGACAGGGACACAGATACGGGTGATTTGATTTCAAGTGAATCTGCAGAAAATGGTGATCCCGATTTAAATGAATTGCAACCAGAGCAATCAGCTGTATTAAGCACAATATCGGAACACACCGAAGGTAAAACCTCCGGAGAAACTGGCCAGGATGATAGGGAAACAAAGGCTGTAAACGATTTAACAGAAGACAATAATGCAGAAGTTGACTCTAACAAAACTACAAGAAGAGAATCTTTATCTGCATCTGAGGATGAAATTCATGCTCCAATACATAGACCGATGCCTGCGGCACCCAACGAGCTGGAAGATGATGAACCAACATCTACCGCCAGAGGACGCAAAAGGGCTTCCTTAAGAAAAAACGAAGAAGCGCCATCCAAAAGGACCCACGTAGTAAATGATAAACCACAACCAGAATCTACTCCAGGTACCGAAGATGAAACCAACCCTCCAGAAATAGGTGGGATAAGAAGTGAAAGGGCAAAGAAACGGGTCAATGGTAATTTGATAGAGAGACTTTGGAATCCCTTGAATTCTGATGTATTAAGGATTCTTCAAAGATTGATGACAATATCAATGGGTAAGTCAGTTGAAAGATACTCAATGAAGACAAAGTTTGGCCAAGTAAGAATAAGAGAAGCCCAAAAGGCCCTAAGTAGTGGGTGGTTTGATAATAACAGTGCCCGGACATTCGTATCGAGGTTAGCTGCCTCTAACCTACCACCATTAACCAGTATGCAACCAACTAGAAGTGCAACGGCCGGAAGTTTAAGCGGATCACAACTCTTAGAATATGATCAATTGGTCAATTACAAGCAAAAATTAGAAACTTATTTGCTGGCGGAAATTAGTCAACTACAAGATTTAGAATTACATTACAATAATTTGAAAAATAGTTATGAACTGGATCTAAAATACTTGAATGAGTTTAAAAAGACAACCTCGATCAATGAACAGAGAATGCATGACGAAATCATCAAGAAAAAACAGGAATTACAACTTGATTCTATTGAATCAAGTTCGGACAATATCAAATTAGATGAGGAAACAGAACACCAGCCAATATTGGGGTCTAAATTCAATGCTAACAATGACCCTGATACAAGAGAAGTACTCCAGCTTTTAAATAAACATTTATCAAGCATGTCATCGAATACTCAGGCGTTATCTACTTTGAACGACAGAATTGAAACGTTGTTCAATGTTCTTGAAATGCTATGATCACCTTATTAATTATGTATTATATAACGAAATCATTAATGCCAATAAACATTTACTAATCAACAAAGATCCAATACACACTGATCAAAAGATTATCAACCCGATCAGATTCAGAATTGTCAACTTGTAAATTGATATATCCGTCTCTTTCACCATCCCAAACAGCTCCAAACGAAGAAGCAATCAGAATGGGTATGTCAATTGGACTTCCGGAACCAACATTGGTGGCCTGGACTAAAAACTTATACTTGGATGATTTGATTTGAAGCTTTTCAAGTATGTATTTGATAAGATCGTTCTTTAGGTTGTACAATTGAATCGCTTCATCTGTTCTCACCAATTCTTCGAGGTATTCACTTGAAATTGGTGCTTCTTTGGACACTGACGACTTAGTTACTCTAACCTTCGACATAATACTCTTATTCCCATATACTAATGGCTAGTTCTTGAAGATTCGTGTTCGCTCGGCTGATATTTCGTTTTTTATATTCCGTCTTCCTGGTTTTTTTAGTATGAAGAACGACCAAGCTGGAAAATAGGTATAAAGCCGGATTTTTGTTTTTGTTTTTTTTTTCATTTTTTTTTTTTTGTTTTTCAGTTATCACCGCTTAATTCGAAACGAATAGGGCTTTTTCATCCGGGATTTAATCGGTTTCAACAGTAGGTGTCGGTTTCGAATCTTGGTTAGAGTAAAAGCTGTTGGAATCATCCGAATCGCCATAGTATTCTTCTTTTTCTTTGGTTATTTTACAAATATTGGTGTATTAAGTTGTGAAAAGATGAACTTCTTCAGGAAAAAGGATAAGGAGTCCCAGGATATGTCGAACTCCAACAGCATGGCCAGTAATAGTACCGTCAGTCTTCAAAGTGGATTGAAAAAGGCTAATGGCAACGAATCTACTGATCAAATATCGGTTAGTTCTAAATCCACGGCTGCCAGTGCCAGTGGGTCTATTCTGAAGAAAGGATTGATTAAACGTCATACTCCCTTCGAGAAACCAATATTTCCTATTAAGGAGCCGGATTTTGATCTCACTGAAGAACAACAAGCTCAATATGACGCTGTTTTAAAGCATTTTCAAGAGTACATCAAGACGGAGATCCCTGTGAATGATCAGCCTAAAGCTGCAACACATGCCGTGCTTGATGTTGAGAAATCTTGGCTAACCAAGGAATGTTTCTTGAGATACTTGAGAGCTACCAAATGGAAAACCGATGCGGCCATAAAGAGAATTGAAGAATCATTAATTTGGAGAAGAACATTTGGGGTAGTTTACATTGAAGGTCACACTGATGAAGCCAAAAAACTCACTCCGGAATTAGTTGAACCAGAGAATTTAACTGGTAAGAATTTGATTGTTGGTTATGATAACGATAATAGACCCTGTCTTTATTTAAGAAACGGATACCAAAACACTTCTCCCTCTTTAAAACAGGTTCAACATTTGGTTTTCATGTTGGAAAAAGTCATTCAATTCATGCCTCCTGGTCAAGATACTTTGGCTTTATTGATTGATTTCAAAGCTGCACCAGCTCATATGAACTTATCTTCTAAGTTCCCGTCATTAAGTATATCAAAACAAGTTTTGCATATTTTACAAAATCATTACCCAGAAAGATTGGGTAGAGGCTTATTCACTAATATTCCTTGGATTGGTTACACTTTTTTCAAAGTCGTGGGTCCATTTATCGATCCTTATACTAGACTGAAGACCATTTATGATCAACCTTTTGAAAATTATGTTCCTAAAGAACAATTGGATAAAGAATTTAATGGTATTTTGGACTTTGAGTATGTTCATGACGTCTACTGGAAAGAACTTAATTCTTTAGCGGATAAAAAATCTGCCATTTATATGAAGAATTTCGAAAAATTGGGTGGTAGTATCGGATTAAGTGAATACCATTTAAGATTAGAAAATATAGAAACCAATTAATCTACAATATGCATTGGAGTCTTTCAGTTCTTGCACAATCTTTTACAATCTTTTATGTTAGATTTATATAGATGCTTTTTTTTTGCTTTCGTTTAGTTTCCCCTTTGGCTTGTATTTATTCAATCGATATAGTATGGTAATAATACCAGTTGTAGTTGTACTGGTCTTGTATTAATCATTTTTTACTCTTCTGGATTGCATGTCAGATCAATTGGCTGTGAAACGTTTCCCCAGTATCAACTCAACGTGAACGAAAAAAAAAATTGAGTGAAAAATAAGACTCCGGAACATTTCATAAAATATCTAACTCGATGAAAATTAGACTAGATTCAAAGTTACAGCATTCAAGACCTCCTGTTACCTCATAGAATGTCATTTGAACAATACGCTATAACTATAATTTCCAAAACTTCACGTTTAAGTGAAGAAAGTTGTTCATTTATACAGAAATTTATTGGTGAACAATTAAAGCTTGAAGTCAAATCAACACGAGTCTTATCAGAAAACCGTGTCATTGACTACATAGTTGAACCAGAACACCCAGAAGCCATTGAAACCTTCATCAAAAATGAAATTTTGACCATACCTAAGGCATATGACATCATTTTCCAACGTCAATCAACTAGACAGAATAAGAAGTTGTTTATTTTTGATATGGATTCAACTTTGATTTACCAAGAGGTCATTGAGCTTATTGCTGCATATGCAAATATTGAAGATAAAGTAGCTGAAATCACTGAAAGAGCCATGAATGGTGAACTTGACTTCAATCAATCTTTACAACAAAGAGTTTTATTATTGAAGGGCATTGATTCAACTTCAATTTGGGAAGAATTGAAAGAGAAGATCAAAATAACCAAAGGGGCTAGAGAATTATGCAGAGCATTAAAGAACTTGAACGTTGTTATGGGGGTTTGTTCGGGGGGATTTATTCCATTGGCCCTGTACGTTAAAGAACAGTTAGGATTGGATTATGCATACGCTAACCAATTGGGTACTACTGCCGACTTAAAATTAGATGGTACAACTAATGGCCCAGTTGTTAATGGTGATAAAAAGGCTGAACTTTTACTTGAAATCGCCGATAAACATTCTATTAATCCCCAAGATGCTGTAGCAGTGGGTGATGGTGCCAATGACTTGAAAATGATGTCAGTTGCCGGATGGGGGGTTGCATGGAATGCCAAACCTACTGTTCAAAAACAAGCACCAAGCTGTTTGAACTCAGACTCTTTACAAGACATCCTTTACATTATGGGTTACACTGATGAGCAAATTAAAGATTTAATTAATTAGAGTATATATAGACAATATAATTATTTTCATAAAATTATTCAATAATTTTTCCTTTAACCACCCCCATGATGGCATTGAATAATAAAAGCTCAGTCCCCGGCTTCAAATCTTGTTTATAGATGAGATATTCTTTAAGAAGCTTTTTTTGTAATAAATGACTTCTCATAACACCACATAGACAACCTGAGGTCAACTGCGGCGTGAGCCAAACCCCAGTATTTGATTTCAATGCAATATTTGTGATTGAACCTTCCATGACTTCATCGGCAGTGTTGATTACAATAACCTCCTCTTTACCAGGTTTAAGTCCTGGTAAACACCTATTCCTGGCATCGGTATAAACCTTTCGATAAGTGGTTTTGAATGAAGTGAAGGGAGAAGCCAACACTTGCTGTTTATCTATGTATACATCGAAAAGTGGAGGTTCAAGATTCAGAAATCCACCGAGTAAATCACGAACAGGCGGAATTTCATAAAATTCCACATCAACTTTGCCATTGAAAGATATCAATAGTCTGATTTTATGAGGGGTTGATAGGCTTATTCGAGATTCACACAGAGAAGATTTTAAATGTTGGAAGATTATTGGATCTGATATTTCTGGAACTGTCACTTGTGGAGGTTTTTCATTCTTGGTCTTAGTAAGATACTGACGAGTGAAAAATCTCAAGGAGTACTTTATCCGCTCGACATGGTCATGAAGCAAGTAAAAATTTTCGAATTGAAGTTGGTCGAAACTCATTGGAGAATTCACTGTCAAGTTCGGGTCATATCGTATAGTCGAGAGAAGTTGAAACTCATCTAAGCTTTGATCGTATGTTTCGTGGTGAAGGTCCTTGATTTGATTGATGACGTCGGCACATTGAGGATCGTTGTCTATATCAACCACTGACCGAGAACTTTTCACATTCTGTGACATGGTAAATTGAATGATTAGATTAGATTAGATTAGCATAGATTCATAAGTACCTGAAAAATTGATTTGAGAGGGAGAGAGCACCCGTGCACCCTACGGTATAACTAATTTACTATATTTATTGATTTATGCAAGTAATGATTCTATAATTTACAAGTATTAATACAAGAGGTCAGAAAAAAGGTATTATAAATAGTAGGACTAATAGGGTTTGAAGCGTTTCTTTTCTTTCATTTGTTTAACCCGTTCTTGATCCAATCTAAATTTGGATAATAAATCATTCATTTCTTCCTTTTTACGTTGTCTCAATTGGTATCTGTAGAAATCTTGTTTTTCCTTCTTTTTCAGTTTCGATTGGGCCTTTTCTAATTCGGTAGTGGATGCAAGTTTTTGTTTACCCATTATACCGGCCTTAGTCTTTCTATGAGAACCAACAACCAAAGTAAAACCGTCTTCATCCACTAGTTCGGTTTGTTGTTGTAAGCTTTCCGCCGACTCCTTTTCTGCCCGGTTGAATTCAACCAAGGCACTGGCAACATCTTTTGATAATTTAGAAGGTTCGAGTAATTGTGCTTGTAAATTAGATAAAAAGTGACTGGACCCAAGAGCTGGTAATGGCCATTTTGAAACTTTAGAGTCCGATGCCAACTTTTTTAAAGAATTGAATGCTATTTGGAATGCTGGTTTATCAATAAATGTTATAATACCACAATTTTTAGGTAATTTACTGGATACTTCGTATTGTTCGTCTTTACCCGACACTTTAAGATCAGATGTTAAACTGGTCAAGTCGATATGAATGTCTTCTGGACTGTCTGTGAGCAAGCTTGGAACGTACGACTCAAGCGTGGCTCCAATAGCAACTTCCTGAAGATACCGTTTCACTACCGAAGTATTGGTTTCAATAGGAACATTGACTAAGAAAATTGATCGATTACCGGATTGTCCTCCCTTCTGTTCGTGTTTCTTGAAGTACATGTAGTGCACACCATCCTCCTTCGACTTGGGAAGGGCTAGAGGCAACACCTGAAAGCCTTTGATCTCCAGAACCATACTATTCTTGGGGTGTTCGTGGTATGTCAATGTTCAATCTGAAGCCTTCACTGTTAAAGAAGTTTTTTTTATTAGCAAATCGACTCATCTGGTGAGCACACGCACCAAGGGGGGGGGGGGGGGGGGGGGGAAGAGAGAAATAAACAGATGTACGGGTGTAGGGTCACGTGACCTCATCTCAAAGAAAAAAGTATCGAAATCAATGAAAAATTACTCTTAAATTTTCTGTTTTATTAGCAAAGTTACAGTGAGTTATCTAACTAGCATAGTAAATTCTGTTTCTAATTTTTTTTTTTCAATTTTACTATTTTGGTTTTGTTCAATTTACAAATTGTTTTCTTAGTGGAATCACCAGCCTTAGCAATAGCAATTCCATAGTAATAGTACGAGCTGTTTCGCAACATTAATAGGCAAAAGCCGTAACTTCCATTTAATACTTTTTAATAGTGCTCACTTCTTTGCATATTAATCGATTTGCAGACAGAAAATAATATGGATAGAGATACTTTGCTTGGATCTTTACAAGGCACCTTAGATGCCAGTCAACAAGTGAGAAAACAGAGTGAACAACAACTTCATGCATTCGAAGAACAAGCTGGCTTCACTGCTTACTTACTTGATTTGATTGTTGATAATTCGGTACCATTTGGGGTACAAATTTCTGCAGCCATTTTTTTCAAAAATAGAATTGTTAATTATTGGGTTTTACCAGAGAATAAAGCTGCTTCTAAATTGTTTATTCAAAATGAAGAAAAAAATTTAATTAAACAAAAATTGATTGAAACCTTAATTAAGACTTATTCTAATTCTAAGTTGAAATTATCGTTATCAACTGCTTTACATAATATTCTTAGTTTTGAAAAATGGGATGAATTAGTTCCAATTACTAAAAAATTATTATCTGATACCTCAAATATCGATCACGTTTATACTGGGTTGGTTTGTGCTTACGAATACACTAAAAATTATAGATGGCACGGTTTAGATACTAGTTCTGGTAATAGTAATCCAGTTTTGGATGATGTTGCTGAAAATTTATTCCCAATTTTAGAAAGTTTAACTGAAAATTTATTAAAATCTGATGATTCAATTCCTGATGAAATGTTATACTTAATTGTGAAAATTTTTAAATTTACTACTTATTCAGCTTTGCCAAAATATTTATCTAATGATCCTTCTAAATTAGGTGTCTGGTGTCATTTACAGCTCATCATTATAAATAAACCTTTACCTCAATCTGCTTTAGATGAAGAACCTCATTCTAGAGCTTCTCACCCAAGAATTAAAACAGTTAAATGGTGTTTTGGTAACTTACACAGATTATTGAATCGTCATGGTGGTGGTTTTTCCACTCAAAATAAAGATACCAACCAATTTAGTCATACTTTCTTATCAAATTTCGTTCCTGAAATTTTAAATGCTTATTGGGGTATCATTGAAAGTTGGTCCAGTAAAAAAATTTGGTTATCAGAAGGTTCTTTATATCATTTGATCTCCTTCTTGGAACAATTGATTGAATCTCATGCTTGGAGCTTAATTGAGGATAAATTAGACGCAATTCTTAAACACGTTATTTTACCAACTCTTAATGCTAATGAAGAAACCATTGAATTATATGAAGATGAAACAGAAGAATACGTTAGAAGATATTTGGATATGAGTAGAGATGCTAACACTTCTGATATTGCTTCAATCAACTTCGTTTACAGATTATCATCTAAAAAATTTGACTCTTCAATTAATTTGGTTTTATCAATTGTTAACGATGTCTTTACTAGAAGAAATTCAAATAGATCTGACCCACAAACCGCCATGGAAGTTGAGGGTGCTTTCCGCGTCTTGTCAACAATTTCTTATAAGTTAGATAAAAGCTCTTCTCCTGTTCTGGGAAGAGTTGACCAACTTTTATACTCTTGTGTCTATCCTGAATTATCAGAAGATACCCTCACTAAATTCCCATATTTAACTGCTCGTGCTTGTGATACTTTGGCCATGTTCAATACTAAATATAGTGATGAACAAATTTTGCAACAAATTTTCCAAGCAGTTGTTCAATGTTTTCAACAAGATGTTCAATTCCCAGTGAAATTAACAGCTATTGATGCCATCAGAACCTTGGTTAACGAAGATCTTGTCGCCGACCATGTCGCTGAACAAGCCCCACAATTAATGGAAACCCTTTTGGATATGTCTAAAAAAATTGAAAGTGATATGTTGTCTAGTGTTATGGACAGTTTTGTTCAAAAATTTGCTAAGAATTTAGAACCTTATGCAAATCAATTATCTAGTAGATTAGCTGAACAATTTCTTGGTTTGGCAACTGAATTATTAAATGCTTCTAGTAATGATGCTTCTTCAATTGACACCACTAAAGAATATCAAGCTGCTGGTATTCTTAACACTTTGGTTGAATTAGTCATTGCAACCAACTCATCACCAGATGTTTCCACTAGTATTCAATCTACATTGAAACCATTAGTTTTATTTGTTTTAGAAAATTCTATGATTTCATTCATTACTGAAGCACTTGAAATTTTGGAATCTTTGGTTTCTGCCACTCAACAAATGAGTCCAGTTTTATGGGAATTATATCAATCTGCAATTGATTCGTTTGATACTTATGCTTTTGAATACTTTGATATTTTTGTTCCTTTCTTCGAAGGTGTTATCATATATGGATTCAAAACTGATAATGTCACCATTGATACTCCTCATGTTCAAAGCTTATTCAAAGTCTGTTTCAGCATTGTCAATAATGAAGATTTGGAACCAGTTTTCGCCCATTCTGCATTTGAATTAATCGAATTATCTATTTTGAGTATGAATTCAAGATTTGCTTCATTTTTACCAACTTTTCTCCCAAATGTTTTCGATACATTCCAAAATCTTGAAAGTATTGAAGCCTTTGATGGTCATATGTTACATCATTTATCAATTTTAAGAATTTTATTTGCTTGTTTATACATTGACCCAACCACTACAATTCAATTTTTGAATGAAAAGAATTTCACTAATGGTTTTTTCAAGCTTTGGATTCAACATTCAAGTGACTTCCAAAGTGTTTATGGTTGCAAATTACAAATTTTGGCTTCCTTAGCTATATTATGTGACATCAATTTAAATGTTTTCCCACAACAAGATTTGATTGGTGAAGTGACCGATTTATTAATGTCTAACTTGGAAGTCTTACCTCTGGCCATTAAAGCTAGAATTGAATTATTAGCTGGTGAAACTAATCCTAAAGTATTTGATCCTGAAGTTGATGACGATGAATACGATGCTGCATTATATGATGATGATTTTGAAGCAGATGAAGCAGAAATGGAAGCATTAAAACGTACTCCTATCGATGAAATCAATGTTTTCGCTGTCTTTTGCTCTAAAGTATCTTTAATGCAACAATCAGATGCTAATAGATACCAAGTCTGTTTTGGTGGATTAGATGATGATCAAAAAGAACTCGCCCAAAGAATTGCAGAAATCGATCAACAAAAATAATAAACAGGTTTTATTGAATTTGTAATATAGAACAATATTTAGCTACATCATAATCACTTACTTCTCTCATCTTGTTCTTGTTTCCATAGATTTTTATAAGTTGTTTTGTCTATATGCCATGTAGCTGTTAAAAAAAAAATCAAGTCCGTACATTTTTTTTTTGTATGCGATTACTTAAAAGAAAAAAGAATCCAATGGCAAATACGTCTTCTGATTCTTAAAGATAAATCAAATTACACAAGTCTTGCAAGCAGTTTAAAACAGTTATACTCACTATGTTTTCCGGGTTTGGGTCTGCAATGTTTGGTGGTGCTTCTTTTGCACCTATGAATAATAAGTTTGAGGAGTTTTTCCGATGCTATCCAGTTGCTATGATGCCTGATAATATCAGGAAAGATGATGCCAATTTTGGAGGTAAGATCTTTCTACCACCTTCAGCATTGAACAAATTGACGATGTTACATATAAGATATCCGATGTTGTTTGCATTGACTAACGAAAGTGAGAATATTACAACGCATAGTGGTGTTTTAGAGTTTATTGCTGAAGAAGGAAGAGTTTATATTCCCCAATGGATGATGCAAACATTAAGATTAGAACCAGGTGGATTGATAAAGATTGAGAATTGCGATTTACCATTAGGTAAGTTTGTTAAAATTGAACCACAATCAACTGATTTTTTAGAAATTCTGGATCCAAAAGCGGTATTGGAAAATGTATTAAGAAAATTTTCAACTTTAACGGTTAATGATATAATTGAAATAAATTATAATGATAGCATTTATGGGATTAAAGTCTTGGAGGCCAAACCTGAAAGCGGTAGTCAAGGGATCTGTGTTGTTGAAACCGATTTAGAAACCGATTTTGCACCTCCAGTGGGATACGTTGAACCCGAATACACTCCTCAAGTGAAGAAGCCAGGTTCAACACCAATTGACCCAAGCAAGGTTAACCGAGGGGTCGGAGCGGGAAGTATGTCCAGATCAATAGATTATGCAAAGATTGTAGCAGAAGCATCTAATCCCCAAACACAATCCTTTAAGGGATCGGGGTTAAAATTATCAGGTAAACCTTCTGAAAAACAAGATAAAGACGAAGGGAAGAAGAGTTATAGCATTGATGATTTGGATCCAGATGCACCAGCGGTTCCATTAAATTTACCGGAAAATCAATTATTTTTTGGATTCCCAGTTATACTACCTACGCCAGAGGAAACTGAAGAAGAAGACACTAATGCAAAGACCAAGGAACAGTCTTTTTCAGGAGCAGGTCAATCGTTAAGACAGAGTAAGAAAAGAAAGGATAAGACCAGTAGTCATCCATCACTCAAGAACCATTCCAGAAGTCCTGACGTGATTGAAATTGATTAGAGTAATCAGGTTAAGTGTATAGATAGCTACATATATAATGATATTAAATGCTTCGTTATTAGTATACAATGACTCTATTAAACATGGAGGGAGACTGTTTAGTTTTCTTCAGTAGAAGAAGGAATGAAAACATCATTACCTTGTTCGATAGCTCTTTTGGTATGGTAAACGATATCAGTAGATTCCCAAGGATAAGCGATCCAAACATCTGGAACAGATCTAGCGGCAAAATAATTACCAGTTTTCATAATTTCATCAGGTAAGTCAGCACGTTTTGGCTTTTCTTTATCATGTAAAACAAAAATACCAAACTTAGTATCATTTGGATTAGCATTTTTAGCTTTACATTGTTCAACAACATCTTTTTTCAATTCAGAAACCGCATAATGTAAAGTAGTTCTAGTATCATCAACTTCATCAATGATCAATACATTTTTACCAACAAGATCAATCTTAGATTGATTATAATCGATCCATTGAGTTCTAATGACTTGAGTACCGACTTGTTCAATCTGAGATCCAACAGTTGAAACATCTTCATAAAGAGATAATATAATGGCCATAATTCTAACATTTGGGTGTCCTGGTTCCTTTAAAAAAGTACGCAACATACGGGCTGGAATAAATCCACCACCACCAATGGCAATAATCAAATCCGGTTTAAAAGCCTTGATTTTATCAGCAGATTCTTGACATAATTGATGAATGTTATTGTACGAAATGTACATTTTGGTTGCTTCAACGTCAGCAGCGTCCATGGTAACTTACAAGTGGTCTTGATTGAGTGAGATAAGTGATGGCAACAACACAATCCGGGGAGTTGTAGAACAAATGGTGCAATATTACTCCCAAGAAGAGAAAAAGTAAAAATTTAACAACCAAATTTCGGCATCTTCTTATACTTTTATAGAAAATGCCTATCCATCTCTTCTCGATATTTGGGTACGCACACGCCCCCTTTTTTTTTCAAAAAAATTTCTCTTTTTGTCCTCTTCGGGTTTAGTTCTGATCAACAGCTACAGCTCTACAGCCAGATCCACGGGCTATCAATGGTTGCTGGCATCCACTGCTCCTAGACGCCGACCGTGAGGTGCTGGGAGCAGCCATGGAGGCCCGTCTCAGGGATAGGGGATGCGGACTGGATCGCGGACTGGATCGCAAGAATCCGCTATCAGGGGGTCGGTACACCGCGGAGAGGCTGTATGACGATAAGCTCGTATATTGCTGTTCACAATCTGGGTATGGCAGACCGCTCTGGTGAGCCATGGTCACTGTAGCCTTTTGCAACATCAATGGGTATCTCGTAGAGTTGCAAATATACTTCAGTATTTGCAGCAAGAACCCGTTTTGGGGGTTTTTGTGGGTTCGTTATTATCTTGCGGTACGGAGGTGGGACGTTGATCTGATGTACGGGTTTGCCAGCGTGTTTTTCGGTGCGGGTCACGTGCTGATCTTGGGAAATTTTCAGTTGTTCGAGGAAGTTCCACTAGAAAACCAGTTTGACAACAAGATATAAGCTAGATTTCTCCTAAATTGACTAGAACTAAACCTTGAAAGTAAGTAGATAGATCATGAAGTTGCAGCTAGTGGTATTGCTGATACTTTGTGTGCTTAGCTCGGCATTTGGAGCCATTCTCGGGGTTGATTATGGACAACAATTCACCAAATCAGTCTTGTTGGCCCCGGGGATATCTTTTGAAATTGTCTTAACTGATGAAGGGAAGAGAAAAGATTTTTCAGGAATATCGTTGAGAGGATCATCTCCAGAGCTGGCTGAATTGGAACGTGTTTATGGGTCCCAGATTGGATCATTGTGTACTCGTTTCCCCCAGTCTTGTATAACTGGGATTAAACCTTTATTGGGTAAATCAATTAATGATCAAGTTACATTAGATTATTTATCGAACCATTTTGGGGTTAAATTATTGCCTGATGATTCGAGATCAAACGGGATCAAGTTTGATTTGGGTTTTGTTAATCAATCTTATCAATTTGTACCTGAAGAAATTATGGCAATGAATTTGAATGAAATCAAACAAAGAGCTTTAGGTGATCTTGATGCTAATCCTCATGCTCAGAGCATTGTGGAAGATATCACTGTTTCAGTATCTCCTTTTGCCACTCACGAAACCAAGCAATCTTATTTGGATGCTATCAAATTAGCTAATTTTTCAAATCCTTTAGGTTTGGTTGATGAAGGTACTGCAGTGGCTCTTAATTATTTATCTAATCGTAAATTTGATAAATCAGATTTTTCAAATCAAAAAATTTATAATCTTGTTTATGACGCTGGTGCTGGTTCCACCACCGCTACTTTATTTTCTTATAATGTCAGTTTTACCGGTAAAGTTACTCTTGAAATCGAAAGCATTGGTTATGATGAATCTTTTGGTGGTCAATTATTAACCCAATCCATTTATAATATCTTATATGAAAAATTCTTACAACAATTCAATATTAAAGATGCTGATGACGTATTACCTCCAAAAGTGGCTTCAAGATTACAAGAAACTGCCGAAAGGGCTAAGATCATTTTATCGGTTAATGCTGATTTCCAAGTCTCTTTGGAAAATTTCTATGATGATAAAGATTTTAAAACCGTTGTCACTCGTGAAGAATTCGAAGATATCAATTCCGATTTAATGTCTCGTTCTACTTCTCCAATATTAACTGCTTTACGCGATTGTCCTTCAGGTCCTAAATCAGTAAAAGACTTACAATCAGTCATTCTTAATGGGGGTTCCACCAGAGTTCCTTTTATTCAAAAACATTTATCTCAATTATTAGGCGATGATAAGATTTCTAAAACTGTTAATGCTGATGAATCTTGTGCATTGGGTACTACTTTAGAGGGTCTTAAATTGAAAACTCAATTAGAAAATCAAAAAGAAATTAAGCTTATCGAAAGATCGTTCCATAATTATGAAACTAGTATTGATAATATGGATTCTCAAACTATAGTTTTCAAATCTGGTGATGTTGCTGATAACTCAACTAAAGTCCCACTTGCTGATATGTCCGACAAAAGAGATGAACTTTCTGTTAACTTATACGAAGATGGCCATTTGATTAAAAGTTATGAATTCAAAGATTTACAAAAGAAAATTGAAAAATTCACCTGCTCTAAAAATTCAGATGATATCAAAGAAATCTCTGGGGTTTTCACCTTAGACCACAACAAAATGTTCGATTTAACTGATTTGTACATTGAATGTAAATCATCCGATAAACAAAGTGGGGGATTTTTCAAAAAATTATTGAGTAAAGATGGTGAAGACTCTCAAGCAACTGAAGATGAAGAAGCTAAGGAAACTGATTCACCTAAAAACGAAACTTCTTCTAACTCTACAATTACCAAGTCAAATACCAAGTCCAAACAACCAAAACCTCTTCGCATCCCTCTTGTGAAGCCAGCATACCCTCATGTGAAGCCTCTTTCTAGAACTACGAAGGACAGATTATTTTCTAAATTAGCTTATTTAAATGCTAAAGATGAAGAACGTATCATTTTAGATCATGTCAGAAATATCTTGGAAGGTCAATGCTACGAATTACGTTCTCATATTGAAGATAATGAAGAAGCCATCCTTAAGGAAATTTCAGAAAACGAATTAGAAGCTTATCAACAATTTGTTCGTGATACTATTGAATGGTTGGATTTTGATAGCGATAATGCTTCTTTGGAAGAACTTCGTGAAAAAATTAGGGAATTGAACCAAAATAAAAAGAAGTTAGATAGTTTCATTGAAATGAACCAAACTGATTTATCTCTTGACGGTTTCAAAAAATTATACGAAGAAGGTAGTAAAATTGTTATGCAAATCCAAAGTCATATGTTGGAATTTGGTAGCGAAGTAAGTGAGATTAGACAAAAATATGAAGGCGAAGGTTTCGCTTTCGATAAAGAGAATGATCGTATCAAATTACAACTATTATCAAAAGGTGATGAAAATAAAATGATGGCTTTAGACAAAAACTTAGCTTCCTATAGAGAAGATTTGACAGAAATCGGTGATTTAACTGGTAAAGAAAAGAAATTTAACAAATTGAGTAAATTCCAATTATACGAAAAATACGATGCTTTGGCACAAAAGATTGTCCAAATGCTAGCTGATGTCAAATCTATTGAAGAATCTCATAAAGCTAGAGTTGGTTTGTTCAATGCTAAATTCGAAAAATTATTAGCAAGAAAGAAGCAGAAAGAATACAGAGAAAAATTAAAGGAAGAAAAGAAGGCCAACACCAAAAAAGATGAGGAAGAACAAGAGGAAGCTGATTTCATTGAAGACGATGATATTGAAGAAGTCAATTCCCAAACTACTCAACAACAGTCTTCCGAATCTTCCACCGAAGGTGAAAAGTCTACCGAATCACCTGTTCATGATGAATTATGATCTTTCAAAATCTCTTATTATTTCACTAATTTCTGCTGCTTGTAGTAGAGATTGATCTCATTGTAACCTATTTAATAATAGACTAATTCACTTTAGCTTCTTGTAGATATTAGACATTGATTTTATTTGCAACTATTACGTTTTTGAAGGAGGTACTGCCTAATGAGAAGAGATTGAACTAGAAAAAAAAAAAAATTGTAGCGAAAAACAAGCTCGAAAACTCCATCTCATCTACAAAGAGTCGTATAACAACAAAGCTAGCCATCAACATGAGTAATCGTATGCCTGAAGACTTTTCGAGAAGTGAAGATAGAAGAGAGTTTACTAACAATATGAAACCAGCTCAACCCTCATCTTCGGGTACATATAATCGAGATAATTACCAAGATGAACGTCATCGTTATTCAAATCAACGAGTTATTGCTCGTGAGAGGCCGTCTGGTGCTTCCAATGATCGTGATTTTCAAGACCGTCGTTTAGAATCAAGACGCAGTGGAATGGATAGATACGACAAGTATCAACCTAGAGACAGTCGTGGAGGTGAACGAGATAGATATGGAAGTCGACATCAATATGACAATTATAGACCCAGAAATGATACTCGTGGAAGAGGACCTCCAAGAGAAAGACAAGGTCAACAGGACTATAATAGAAATGATCAAGGATCCCAATCCTCATCACAGCCATATAAAAGGCCAGAGAATAATGGTTTGCCTAGTGGTAAACCTGAATACACAACCAATATCAATGTAACTTTTCATAAAGATTTGGATGCAGGCCTTAGTAAAGAAGAATTGATATCTAAATATGACAAGAAATTGAGATCAGTGATACGATACCCAACCCTTGAACATATTGAAGTAATTGGGTCTAAGTGGGGGATCAAACCAAAAGGATTCGAAAACGTTACTGCTCAGAGAGCAAAATTGTCTGGATTATTCCCATTACCAGGGTATCCAAGACCGGTTGATTTCACTAAGTTAGAAGGTGTTGTGAGAGATAGGTTAAGCAACGAAAATGATATTTTGAATGACTCATCAAAAATTGATCCGATTGATAGTAGGAATGCCTCTATTTTAATTATTAGAAATATCAATTTTAGCAAGATTGATTATTTGAAAGTTGTTGAATTTCTTAATAAATTCTTAAATAAAGTTGATTGTGATGAAACATCGATGTCCAATAATATCGAGTCCAAAAGAATGACCACTGATGATCGTAATATGATAATTGAATTCAAAAATAATACGTGTGCCACCATAGCATATTCATTGAAGGGAATGGAATTGAGTAGTGCTGAATTCGCTATCACCGAGCATAAAAATGAAGATGAAGAACAGCCAGAAGCATATGAAGATAAAATCGATGAAACTAAGTTTGTTCTTGATATTGTAAGACCTGGAGAATACGTTGTTCAATGTCTTTCCCCATATAAAGAAATTAAAGAGGATGAAGTTGAAGATAAAGTAATTGACAGTCCACGTAAGTTCACATTAATTTTGCCTGATTCAACTGACGAGTCTAAGCTAGTTGATGCACTTAGAGAAATAGCTCCAATTAAAGGATTCCAATTTTTAAGAGAAATAGGCAGTAAGGATCCATTGGGTATTGCATTTGTTGAATTCTACCTTGATCCTCAAGAATACTCTCGTACCATTAAAGGGCTTCCAATATTAGATAAATTGCTTGCGCAGGTGAATGAATTATCCATAGTGACGAGAGCATTTTACTCCTGTTTAACAACTAATGAGAAAGGAGAAGCTCAGAAAACTAGTATTCAAGATTGTCCAATTGATTTCCATACATTACAAGGATTAGTTAGGAACGAGTTTGTTACTACTCATCCAAAACTGAGAGTTATTCAATTACTTAATATTGTAACTGCCAAAGATTTAGTCGATGATGAGAATTTTAATTTCATTAAGCAAGATATTTTGCAAGAGGTCAGTAAACTCGGGAAAATCAAGTCGATCAAGATACCAAGACCTGCTAATGATTATACCCCTGGGATAGTTCAATTTAGTCAACCAGGTTTAGGAAAGATCTATCTTGAATTTGAAGAAGAAGAAATTGCATTGAATGCGATTATGAATTTAGCAGGTAGAAGTTATAATGATCGAACCTTACTATGTGCATTTTACGATTATGATGATTTTAAAAATGGGTTACTATAATTAAAAAATAAATAAATAATACACATATATAATAATACAAGAAGAGAAGAAAAAAAACCAATTATTTATTTTCTAATTGGAATAATTTAAGTTCATTAGGGACATTAGGATCAAAACCGTGTCTAACAATCAAACCGTATAAAGATTTAGGTAATTCAGGAATAAAACTCAAGCTTAATTTAATAATTTCAGTATCCTCTAAAAGAGGGAAATTTCTTAAAACTTTCATTGGCTGAGGAGAGTTTAATAGAATAGATCTATTCATGATTAATTGAGCCACCACAAATAAAATATTCATATGAGTACCATAAGCAAGTAAGAAATCCCATAATTTTAAAACTGAAGATAACGGAGGAGTACAAGCACATAAGGTTAATACTGACGGGAAAGCATAAATTTCTGCTTTTAAAAATTTTGAATCTAGATAATCACTTAAGACTGGATCGATGATTTTCAAGGCAATGTCAACTAAATTCAACCCAGTATGAACCCCATCTAGATTAGGAGTAACGTATAAAGGAATTTGAGTTGTTATTAAATTATGTAAGATTGAAAAAGCGTGAGGTTCACTTTTATGACAAGTGTAAGCAATCGGAGCCAATAGGACGTTCAAACCTTGGACATAACCGACCTTATTATTGGTTGATATGGCTATAGCAGATAAAATTCTTATCAAAGAATCTTCTTCTACTTTCAGATGGAAAGTTTGATCGTGCATTAGGGTTCTAAAAGTATCATTTTTGATTTTTTGATATATTTCATGAGTAAGTTTATTGGGTACTTGATGAATGAGTTTCAAGTACTGGGAAGTGGTGTAAACCGGTACTTTACAGAGAATCGACCAAATATAGCTTCTATAAGGGCATTGATCATATCCTGGAGGTATACTTAGACCTTCTATAAGAATCATATACCGTAGCTGGGACAAGCTATTGTCGAGGAAAAGTTGCGGAGCCCCTATGAACTGTTCTATCGAGTCCTTCTTCCGTCCCTTGACTTGGTTTCTTAGTGGTGATGACATTATCAACTAATAAAATAAGTAAAGAAGTAGTTGTTAAAACGATTTTTCAACATTAGTCCCTTCTGTATGAAAAGTAAACACGGCCCAACCTGCAAATCTCCGCAACCTGCAAACCGCTCGGGCACGAAACTGCAATTTGTTTCAATCTGCAAAAACTCCCAAAGAGAAAACAAATCAAAAAAATGAAATAATCAAAGAACAACTAATAGTTGAATCGACAGGATGTTTGGATTAGGAAAGTTGCTATATATAATAATACTCAGTGTTAATGGGATAGCTGTGTTGAGCGAGGATCGCTTTCTCAATAGAATTGGATGGAGCACCCAGAACAATGGGCCCAGTGGAGAACAGTACCAACAGTTTATGACTGGAGTCAATCAAAACGATAATCAAACGATAAAAACCCGATTAATTAATTTAATTGGAGCAATAAGAACCTTGTTGAGAGTGCCGTTAATTGCCATTAACGTGATTATCATTTTATATGAACTCATTTTAGGTTAAAACAGCATATATAGTATCTTTTTTTGTACATTAGAATATAATAATACCATTAGTTTATGTTAATTGTAGAATACAATGGGTCTATAAAACAAGGATTCATGGGTTTTGAATACAAAATAGAAAAGATAGAAATAAAAGTCATCAACATAATAATATACAAATAGAAAATTTAAATTTCCAGTTTAATTTCTTGTTTAACATCACCTTCTTCACTAGTTGAATTATTTTGTAAACGAGCTCTTGATTTTTTAAATAATTCTTCTTGTTGTTTTAATAATTCTTCTTCTGAAAGTCCGGAGTTTTGAAATTTATTATTTTTTTTCTCTTTACCCTTTAATAATTCTTTATGTTCATCTAATACTTTATTAATTATTTCTAAATAATTATGAAATCCCAATTCTTCTAATGCTTTTATGACATGGTCTGATGCAATTGTTCTTTTGGCTTCCTTTTCGGCAATATCATTCAGTTGGGTTGATAATATCATAATAAACTCAATACTCAATTCGGTGATCGCCTCTCGCGCATCCTTGGATATCGCAATGTCCTTGGGCAAGATCTCCCCAATAATCTTCTGCACCGTGGCCTTGGGAAGTGATAAATCTTCTCCTCCTCCTGTAGAATACTCCGACATGTTAAAATTGCATCCAAATCTACTCAAACTGCTTTTTCCCTGAGAAGATTTGAACGGGTTTTTATAATTGGCTTCTGTTCTCATCTCGCGCTGGGGGCACCAGCCGCGCAGTGTGCAGGAATTACGCAAGCAGTAGGAGGTGGTCGGTACACACACGCCGCCGGTAAAAAAAAAAACCACAACAAACACCCATACACCATATGCTTTGCTAGGTGTACCTATATCCATTCACTGAATGAACAGTAACACCTCCTGAACAAACTGGTCCTTGCGTTCGCTGACTAGCCAGTGGCCACAGTCAAAGTCGCGTACCTGGAAGTGGGAGAAGTAGCGCGGGAAGTCGTTTTGGATGTGCTGGTCGGTGACAAAGCCCGAGTGCAATCCTCGAAGGACGAGAGTTGCAGCTTTTGATTTGGCGTGCAATTGGGGCCAGTTGCCCATGTTTTCGAGTAGACTGTGTTGTTGTAGAGGGATCACGGGGATTTGGAAGCGTAACGGTGGTTTTGCCATTTTAGAAAGGGCGTGGTGCTGACTGTGATGATGGGGAGGAAGCAGGGACTGTTTGAGATTAGATGCAAGGAATACCCGGGTAAGTTTATCAGGAACGTAATCTTTCAAGACGGCATCGATTTGTTTTAGCTGGTCTTTGGTGCTGAGGTTTTTGGTTAGTGATTTTTGCATTTGTTCTACTTGCACCATTCCCTCCAAGTATTGGGCGAACTCAGCAGGCAATGGCTGATTGACCGGGCTGTTATCAATCACAATGAGCTTATGGACCAAATCGGGTCTGAGCAATGCAACTAGCATGGCGGTTTTGGCGCCCATGGAATGTCCAGCGAGGATGAATTGATTTTGCGGAGCGTGGTTCTCGAGGTAGGTGATGACATCCATGGCTAAGGAGTGGTAATCGTGCGGTAAGGCATGGGGAGAGCCCCCATGATTACGGAGGTCCAAGCAGTGGATGGTCCGCGGATCGTGGTGAATGATTGAATTGGCGGAAGAGGTCCAGTTTTTGGCGTTACCAAACAAACCGTGAAGGAAAACGATTGGGGTTTTACCATTGCGAGTTCCCATGATTCTCGAATGGAGGGCCACCACTGGCTTGACCTCGACACTCGACTTATGCCGGCGGGTTATTATCGGTGTTCTTATGAGTGTTCTTATTGGTGTTGGAACTTTCATTAAAGAAGAAGTAGAAGAAAAGTGTGCGAAATCTACAGAGTGGGTAACATAAAATGTGTATTAGAAAATTAATGTTTATCATCATCAATCAAATCATCCAAATACATTGAAGGAATGGTTTTTCTATTTGATCTTGGGACTGCCAAACCTTGATTAGAAGGAGAAGTAGGAGCGTTTTGTGGTTGGGATGCAGCATTTAATGAGTACTCACTATTGTTAGTATCATTATTAATATATAAACTTGGATATAATTGAGAGTGTCTATTTGTAGCTGGGGATGGATTAGCTAAATTGGAAGTAGAACCACCTAAAAGAGACAAGTTGGAAGTGGACCCACCACCATAATGAGAAGAACGAACTCTTTTATGGGTCATTACTTCGGCAGTTGGCGAAATGAACATTTTAGTTAAATCATGTTTTGAAGTAGCATGACCCGTTTCACTCGCATAAATGGTTGAAGTATCGCCAACTTGAGAACCACCGCCCATATTTGAAGTTTGGTGTTGGGATAAAAGGGGTAATTTAGCCACTGACAGTTGATATTCACTATTCATATTTAAATTACTGGTTGAGGTTGGAGTTATACCGTAAGCTGTATTATTATTACTTTGATATTTTTCAAAAATTTTTTTATCACCAGCTAATGATTTCTTAGCTAATGATGAGGCTTTAATTGATTTAATTAAATAAAATAATACAAACGCAATAAGCATGGCTCCCACAATAGCCCCAAATGCAATGAAAACGGTCCCATTAGGATTGACTTCTCTGATAATATATGGATTATTATCATTTGGTGGTACGGAAATCGGTGGTGTAGAAACACTTTCTGAACTGGATGAAATAGTTGGCATATCATCATCTCTCTTATAAATAAGAGTAGATGGCGTAAACGCTGTTATATGCTCCATCTTGTCAATAATAAATGATTATACTGATGTTATACTGACGTTATACTGACGTTAGACTGACGTTAGACTGACGTTATACTGACGTTATACTGATGTTATACTTATAATATACTTATAATATAAAAATTTGTGATGTGGTCTTTCAGTAACGAAAAGTAATAACTTTTTTCTTCGTTTTTTTTAGATCTGCTTGATTTTGTATGATTTTTAATTTTAGATTTTGTTGTTCTTCTCAAATTGTTTATTTACCTCTTTGACGCCTTTCCCACGGTAAACTTGACATCCAAACCTGATAAGTTGGCAACCAATGAAATTTCCCGGTTTATAACTAGAACAAACTGAACAAATCGACCAAATTGAATAATTAATGAATCGACCCACTGGAAATCAAAACAAATCAATTATTACCTGAAACAGAACGAGGGTTTTGCAAGCCTTTTTTTTACAAAGAGATGAAACGTGTGGTGTATGGGGGTGTTTGTGTATTTACGGGTGTTTATTGTATCACGTGCTCCGGTTTGCAACTATTTAATCCAGTGCTTTTGCTGGAGAGAGAAGAACGCCCGGTGGATCCAGGTCCAGTGGTGGAGGAGGTCACAGTCGACGAGGACAAGACTGCCGCTGGCAGGGTTGCAGGAGATCCAGGGGCCCATTTCGTCCGGGTGCAATAGCCACGGTTTGGGGATGGGGGCATTGGAAAAGTGAATTAGCTTGATTTTTTGTAGTATTTCACCAGAGTTCCACCGAGTACTGGACGGACTGGAGGAGAAGTACCGGGAGTGGTCCAGCTGTTTGAATTCTCCAGAAAGCACTCCGTAGACTGAGTGGTTTAGTAAACCGATTTTAAGACCATTTAATTTCCATTGGTCATCGAGGTACCGGTTAATGATTTCCATATCGTAGTCATCGGGGCGGAACAAGCGGTTTCGGTGGTTCCAGCTCCACAGCCAAGGGTTATTCACATAACGCATTATTTCATTGAAAATTCTGGGGTTTGGTCGGGCGTAAATGACATGAGAAGCAAAGAAATTGGCCCGATTGTCTAATTTGGCCTGGTAGAGGTCCTGGGACGAGGGTTGTATCCAGTATGCTCGGGGCATTGCAATATCAACTTGGAGTCCAAAGAGTTCGTCTAGATTGGTGGGATGATATACCAATTCGTGTTTGTTCGTGGTGGCATTGATCAAGAGTGAATCCGAATCAAAATAAACAATCTCCGAGTACTGGGTAAGATTGAAAATATACAACTTTGTAAATGAGTCGTCCCATTCTGGTTGATTCAGTTTTGTTCTTTGCAATAGGTCAACTCCATTCATGGTGATATTATATTTTTCTGCATTTGGTTTGAATTTCCCGATATTCAATTCTTTATTGAATAATACAACCAAGTTGGCCACTTGGGTATTGGATTCACGTAAATTGATGAAATTCATCATGGCCAAATTCAAATATTCTTTATTGGTAGCGTATTGAACGTACGCTGTTTCATTATATCGGCAGTTCTCTCTACTGGGTTCTATATACAACTTTGGTGGTTTACCACCTTCTCCCAACTGGGTGATGCAGAAGTATACTATCAACACCACCACTAGCTTAATCTCCCAATATTTCATCACTGGTGGTTGTTCTTTTCATGTGGTTCAAATATTATCTTTTCATCCTTCTGATCCGCCCGAATAAGCCTTGTCTATATTTAACATGCATACTTATACTACTATAAAGCCCGATATCGTCCCCATCTTTCTTATGTCTTTCTTATATTCATATATGCATATATAAGTATATACGTATATGCTTATACGTATACTTATACGTATACTTATCCATATACTCATATACTTATCTATCAAACACCTTTTGCAATAAGATCAACCGTTGACGGAACAAGGGAAGTAACGGCTGGTCACGTGACCGACGGCCAACCCTCCAGAAAAGTTCCGGGGTGTTTCTGGCAGATTCGGTCTACGGGATGCTGGCCAGTTCCGGGGCTCGAAAAAAAGGTTGCAACCTTGGGGTTATTACCAGAATTTGATTCGTCAATTGGCTTGAAATGAACAAAGATTATGTAGAAGAAAATGGAATTGTTTAGAAAACCGATGCAATTGTAGTAGCATTGCACGACGAGAACCATTTGGTCTTGAAAGGAAAGCTTTGAAAGTGCAGAAAACCGAAAAAAATTGTGGATAACGTGCAAATTTCCAACTACAGCAATCAAACTTTCCCCTTTCCCAAATTATATAAATATACTCGGTAATCCTTTAAATCGATTAAACTAATTTCAGTTATAATAGATAATAATATATTATTTTAGTTTGATTGAAAATGCCAATTGAAAAAGTTCATGCCCGTTATGTCTACGATTCTCGTGGTAATCCAACTGTAGAAGTTGATTTAACCACTGAAGATGGTTTATTCAGAAGTATTGTTCCATCGGGGGCTTCCACTGGTGCTTCAGAAGCAATTGAATTGAGAGATGGGGATAAATCAAAATGGTTAGGTAAAGGGGTCACTAAGGCCGTTGCTAACGTTAATGATATTATTGCCCCTGCATTAATCAAATCAGGTATTGATGTAACTGATCAAGGAAAAATTGATCAATTCTTATTAGATTTAGATGGTACTCCAAATAAACAAAAATTGGGGGCTAATGCTCTTTTAGGGGTTTCTTTAGCTGCTGCTAAAGCCGGTGCTGCTGCCAAAAAGGTTCCATTATATAAATATATTGCTTCTATTTCTGGTTCTAAGCAAGAACCTTATGTTTTGCCAGTTCCTTTCCAAAATGTCTTGAATGGTGGATCTCATGCTGGTGGTTCTTTGGCTTTCCAAGAATTCATGATTGTTCCAACTGGATTCGATAGCTTTTCCGAAGCTTTAAGAGTTGGTTCTGAAGTTTACCATGCTTTGAAAGGTTTGGCTAAAAAAAAATATGGTCAATCTGCCGGTAATGTTGGTGACGAAGGTGGGGTTGCTCCAAATATTGAAACTGCAGAAGAAGCTCTTGATTTGATTGTTGATGCAATTGATCAAGCTGGCTATAAAGGTTCCGTTAGTATTGCTCTTGATGTTGCATCTTCAGAATTTTACAAAGATGGTAAATATGATTTAGACTTTAAAAATCCAAATTCTGATAAATCTAAATGGTTAACTGGTGAACAATTGGCTACTGAATATGAACTGTTGATTGAAAAATACCCAATTGTTTCTATCGAAGATCCTTTTGCTGAAGATGACTGGGATGCTTGGGTTAAATTATATCCAAAATTATCTAATAAAATTCAAATTGTTGGTGATGATTTAACTGTCACCAATCCAATTTTCATCAAAAAGGCTATCGAAAAGAAGGCTGCTAATGCCTTGTTATTAAAAGTTAACCAAATTGGTACTTTAACCGAATCAATCAATGCTGCCAAACTTTCTTTCAGCGATGATTGGGGGGTTATGGTTTCTCACAGATCTGGGGAAACCGAAGATACCTTCATTGCCGATTTGGTTGTTGGTTTAAGAACTGGTCAAATCAAAACCGGTGCTCCTGCTAGATCTGAAAGATTGGCTAAATTGAATCAAATCTTGAGAATTGAAGAAGAATTAGGTGGTCCAGGTAAATATATTTACGCTGGTTCAAAATTCCATACTGCTCAACTTTTGTAATCGTTATATATATTACGTGAATGATCAAATAAAATTTTTATACATTTTTATTATAAAAGGGTATTATTTTGTAAAAAATTCTATAGAATGCAATTCAAAGTTTCAGAGTAGCGTATAGTATTTGAGCAATTGAAGCATTATCCATGAAGGACTTTTTAATTTTAGTACTTGATCCAGGACAATAATTATTGTCACCACTAAAACTATCACCACCCCCAGTATATGCTTTACTATATCTTGAAAACATTGATTGAGTACTTGAATCAATCAGTCCAAAATACATATTTAAATCATTTGGATCTTGTAAATAATTATAAATATAATTAGCCTGTCTTAGAACTTCGGAAGTATATGATTCAAAATCTGAATCCAGGTTTATTATATCACTGAATCCCATGAAAAGCAAATGTTCATATTGTAATTGATTATTCCAAAGACCATTACCATCATAAAATGCACCATTTTTATTGGTTGCAGCATCTGCTAATTCGGTTGCTTGATTCTTATAATAACTATTACCAGTGTCTTTATATAAATATGCTAAAGTACTTAAAGCACATCCAACGGTATAAGATAATTTCCCCTTATTAACATCACTATAATCAGATTGACTTAAACCATCATAAAATAATTTATCACTTGGGTCTTGTAAATATTGGAACATGAAATCCATATTTTTTTGTGCATATTCAATTAATGAATCGTCATTTGTTATTTCATGTAATCTTACCGCAGCTAATGCAGCTTCCACCGTAGAAATAGATGCAATATAATCAGCTTGGTATTGCCAGATCACACCACCATTAATGGTTTGATTTTGAAGGAAATTCATGATATATTTAGCAGCTTCGAGGTATTGTTGATTTTGAGTTTGTTGATAAGCATCAATGAAGACCCAAGCTATTTGAGCATTATCGTCAGTATAAATATCGGTATTTTTTGCAGTTGAAGCTGAAAATACTTTCAATTGACTGTTCTGATAATCATTTATATTATTTATAATTGATCCAATTTTGGAATTATCTTGTAATAAAACACTAGCACGACCAATAACTGCTTGGTTCCAAAGGGAAGGTTCGTCATAAGAAGCACCTCCACAAATATCATCATTACTATTAAAGGCATTTTCAGAAGACAGCCAAAATCTTTGCCAGATCTCATTTGTAGTATCGCTAAATCCTGAGCTTACGTCACTTAAAAGTTTACTTGAGGAAAATGAAGTAGAAGTTGAATCTGATTGATCGAACGATGCACTGGAAGCGGTATAAGTCCCTTGGGAAGATGATGAAGGTTGGTATATGTCTTGGGCCCCAGTGTCAGTGGCAGATGAGAATATAGCTTGGGTAGAGGTTGGGGTTGAGGCCTGAGTTGAAGTTTGGGAAATTTGATAATCTGAAGCAGTTGCAAACTGGGAATTTCCAGTAGCTTGTGCCTGTGAAGTGGTTTGTGCTTGTGAAGACGAATCGTTTAAGCCAAAGAGTGAAGAAAGAATGTCTCTCCAGCCTCGACCTGAAGATCCGCTACTCAGACTTGCTGCTTGTGTAGTAGCTGCTTGTGTAGTAGCTGCTTGTGTAGTAGCTGCTTGTGTAGTAGCTGCTTGTGTAGTAGCTGATTGGGCTTGTGCGTCCTCATTATATCCAAGAGCATTTGCAGTAGCAGTGGATGTTGCAGCTGCATTAACTGGGTCATCTATGACAGTAGTAGTATGCATTATTCTGGTAACGGTAACTATAACTCTTTTATCTAGAGGTAATGCGTCCACCAACTGATTAGTAGCAATAGCCACTAATATCAAACTCTTCAAATTCATATTATTTGGTATATGGAGAAGAAATCATCAGCTTGATCACTACGGGCAAATCTAAATATATATATATATATATATTTCAGAAGATGTTTCGACACAGATCGAAAATTACCTTAAAGGAACGATTCTGATGTGAAAAAATTATCTCCAACTGAAAAGTACCGATAAGGTAATAAGAATAAGGTCTCGACATAATAAGATGACTTCCTATAAGAGTTTGTTGTTAAGGAAAATTCAAACTTTACAGACGCAACCTTAATTTGATGCCGATACAATACAATCACGAAACGCCAACGCTGACTTGCAAGCATCCAATGAGTATGAATGATGCATTCAAGCTTGCTAATTCTAATGTCTCTTAACAACCCAAGCTGTTGCAAATTCTTCACATTCAAATCACACTGCCTAAATAGGAAGTTTAATTGAGAGCTGTAACAAAAATGAATCAGTTTGATAGTGCGGAGTGTGCGTGCACCAAAGGCTCACTGAAAAATTCTCAATTACCCTAAAAAGTTAATGAAAGATACCAACTCCTGCTGCTGAAAGGTATCGAGAAGATCCGAGTTGGCAAATCAGGTAATTCCCAAGTTGGCCCCTCCCCTTGCACTCCTCTTTGTGAATTGAGTCGCCGAGAAGAATGGTTAAAAGCTATTGGAAACACCCCCTTTTCAAGAATCCTTCGAAATGGCTTACTATAGAAAGAAGTCATGCTTCTAACTTGTACCAGAACAACCCCACCGAGTACTATGATCCCAAGGGCTTGGAAGGGAATCCATTTGCTCTCGGGTTACTGCAGATTGTTGAGAATACCACTACTTCGGCTACATTGAATACGTTAATACCAATTGAAGTACAACCCAATAAGGCTGATCTTGATCCTCAGATTCTGCAAAAAGATAAAAAATGGTATATTTTACCATTTATTCAACCAATAACTGAGCAAATTTCTAGAAGAGAATGTTTAAATTCGAATATTGGACACATTCCAAATAATCGCCAATTAGTACAAAATGTAATTAAAAAGCAATCCCATCGACAATATTTACCAGAAAGATTTAGATTTGACTCTTTTAATACGTCAAGTCTGCGTAAACCAATAATGACATCAAGTTTTTCCGACTCAGTACAAGACGAATTGAAGTATTGGATTAACAAACTAATGGCCAATGCCCAAATAGAGCCGGTGACTGACGATGAAAGTCAAATTAATGGATTAATAATTGAATACCCCGTTAGTAAACCTAATTATATAACAAATATCGAATACGTTGATGGGAAACCACATATTCAGTTAGGTGATCTAATAGATTGCCCCCAGAATACTAGTTTTTTCCTACCGTTCACAAAAAACACTGATCTTTGTTATTTCATCATCAGCTTATGTGATTATAATCAGAATACGCGAATTGATCGCTGAATCAAACTTTGTGATCTTAATTAGCTTTTATCTCTTTTAATGAATAATAATGACTCCTTGTAAATTTTGACGAATTATTGTATTCCCCTAACTGCACCGTTAGTATTCAACCATGTGTCTGAGCATTGTTGCACAGAAAACAGGTGCTGGTTAAAAGATGCAAAAAAAAAAAGATGGAACAAAAAAAAAGTGATGCAAAAATTACGTTTTACTTCAATTCTAAAAGACCCAGGCTTGTTTATTAGAAGAGCTCATGCATCCAGCGCATGATCGATATATAAAAAGAAAACAACGTGAAACCGAAAAAGAGAAGAGTTGAATAACCGAGTAGAATAAACTTTTAAAGTATTTGCTCTAAATTTCGCTAGCAACTCTGCTAGCTTGATAGAAAATTTGAGTTAAACTACCAAAATCGAGTAAATCAGTAACGTCAGTGCATTTTTTACTGATGGCACCGTCTTTATGCTTATCGTATAAGTACCTTGCTTCTCTAACGACCAAATTCTTAATGGCAGAATAAGCACTTTGCTCATAAGAACCACTTGGGTTTGAATCTTCGATCAAATCAACCAAACCAACAAATAATAAGTGGGAGTATCTGATTTGATCGTTGATATGACCATCGGAGAAGAATTGAGTGTTCAATTGACCACCTCCCATGAATCTAACTGCTAATTCAACAGCATAAGATTTCCAATTTTGAGAACCATCATGTTTTTGTAAGATAGTTAAAGTAGAAATAGCAACACCAATGGTATATGTTAATTTACCTTTATTTAAAGTGCCGGAGTCCCCACTTATACCATCATAAATGAACTTATCATTTGTATCTAATAAATTTTCTAATGTCCAAGTAGTACAGTATTTAGCAAAATCTAAATAATCATTGTTGTAAGTAACTTCAAACAATCTAGCAGCTGCGAGTCCTGCTTCTAAGGTTGAGATCGAGGCAATATAATCTCCATTAACACTCCATAAAACCCCTCCGTTTTTTTTATCTTTATAACTTTCAATGTACGACATTAAGCTTCTGGCTTTATTTAAGCCATCAAAAATTGAATTTTTATAAGCATCGATAAATACCCATAATACTTGAGCATCATCATCAATATAAATATCATTATCTTTACCGGTAGAAGCAGAATAACCATCGGCGTCATTTGATTTATATTGACTCAAAGCGTTCATTACTTTTTTAATTTGATCTCTATTCCCACCATCACTAACTGCTTTACCAGCAACGGCAACATTCCAAACTACTGGAGTATCTGTATTATCACAATTAAGATTGAAATTCGACAGATCAGAATTCCAAAAATCACCTAATAATTGAGATGTTAAAGTTTCATAAACATCACCTGGATCAACAGTTGGATCAGAAGTGCTAACTGATTTGATCGAAGTTGTCCAGGAACCTAAATCGATCAGACCACTAGTAGCGGCACCTTTCAGGCTATTGTTGGCGGCACCAGTAACTGAGGCAGCAGATTGGGATTGGCCAGCCGAGGCAGAAGGCTCTGATCCTGAAGATTCAGAACCTTTGGCAGAGCCTGGAGTTCCAAGACTACCTAAAGCAGAAAGAGCATTTTGAAGAGAGTTTGAAAGTTTATAAACTTGGGGATCTAAGTTGATATCTCTTTTGGCAACAATTGGAGCACCCAAGGGAACCGGGATCTCTTCAATCTTCTTACTAACGGGACCTGCTAACACGGAAGACGCAATCAACGAAGTCAAGACTGTTTTACTAAATAACATTCTTGATATTGATCTATAAAAAAAAAAAAAAAGAAAGAAAGAAAGAAATTAATTAAGAATTGAAAGACTTTTATAACAATCTAAGACTCGAGGACGGAGAAGGCAGACGAACCGTCGAGTCTTTATATTGAACAATTCCCTACAAAGAAGTATGATAACCCTAAATAAATATAGTTTAAAAGAAAAAGAAAAGACAAAAAAGTAAGAATAGCCCATGATTTGAGGCAAGGAAAAGAAAAGAGAATAGCAAATGTACGTAGCAGAGACTGAATCCAAAGGCTCAGTAATGTGCTTCGACAATAGACTCTAAAGATGTAAACCAGTCATAGGTTAAACACGAAACCAGTAGGAAATCTAGCGAAATTGCACCAAAAAACAAAAAAAAAAATTATTGCGAGCCATGAAACCATTTAAGTTAAAACACACGATTATTGTTCATATTCTAATTGGAAAAAAATAAAGCTGGAAAGATGTAGAAAAAGGACCGGATTGGATGGTGCGACAAGCTATTGCTCAGTTAGTTGTGTTGTTCTTCTGTTGTTCTATTATTTTTCCAGTGAAGGGCCTTCTTCAAACAATAGGGTTCTATTAAAAAATAATCAGAGTTCACCAACTCCATTACTTCATTAGGGGCCAAGATAACGAAAAGATTGGCAGCAACTGATCTTTACAATAAGTACCAACGAGGTCCTGGTCTTGAGGTAGCGAACCAGAGTATCAAAATACCATGAAACCTCATCGCCCCAATACATGGATACCTTGACACCTTGGTAAATCCCCCGGGCATTCCCTTGACGAATGCCTGGATACCTGCTACACACCCTGATACCTTCATGATCCCTTCTGATGGTGCTGATGAGTGCTTGATGAGGTCCCTGCATTGGGAATAGGCTCAGATTTTGCATCCCTTTCCAGAATTTTTTGTGGTGACTTTTCTTTGTTAGTGAGGTTTTGCTGCACTATTAGCAAAATTTCAGATCTTCACAAGGAAAGGCACCTTGTAACAATAGATTCATGCTATTCATAGAATATTCCCGGGGTATTCATTAGCCATTCATTAGGGTTATACCAGCATGTTTCCTATGGATTATACAGTGTAGACACTTGGTAGGGGAGACGAGATCAATATCGAGGCCCAAAGGGCATTGAAGCAGCTCACTGCCTCCCACCGGCCAATGGGTTAACCCGGTGGTAAGTTGACCCGAATACCCGTGTGGAAGAACTTACATTTATGATTTGTCTTAGGGCAAGTAGGTTTAGCTAATGTTCTGTGCATGTTTGTCATATCAAAATTAGCAAATCGTGTTTCATTTAGGAAATAAGGATTGCTGTGACATCCAAGCCAATTTTGTTATATTCTATTATGGAAAGCTAAAGCACTTTCCCGGAAGGTCAATTACTGAAACAATTAAAAACAAACTATTGAGATAAAGTTTAATTGGTTTACTAAGTTATCAGACTAAACGAAATAGTTGGACTAGTGAAATAGGAAATGGAATACTGCTAGGATGTTCGAATAAGGAGGAAAAACTCCTTTTCTACAAGCATGCACATCGCTAGTATAAGCAAGTAATATATGTGAGTTAGGCTCATGTTATTATGGTATTGTTCTAATCAAGTACAAAATCACTGGTGTTTGGGTTGTTTGAGGGCTGGTTGCGAAATAAGTTGATGTGCTTATATACTTACAAAGACGGAGGAAAAACAGAACGTAGATTTAAAGGATTAATAAACTAGCAAGCATTACTAAGAAACAAGTGAAATAGCTGTTGTCCGTCTTAGGGGCTAAACTATTTTTCGTGATAGAATTAGACACACTTTTCAATTCATCAGTGACAGAATTGCCAGCTTTATTTATCCAAGAATTAACATCACTAGCACTAATGGTTTGATTGAAAAAAGTCAGATTGGATAACCATACTATTGCATTACCCGAGTTGTCGAAGGCAACTCCTCCCACCATGGTGTTATTCAAGTCTCTTTCCATGTGTCCATAGGCAGCCAATCCGGTTTCAATATATCCAGTACCTTGATAATCATGAATGGTTGAATATAAATGAGTTGATTCAGTATTATTCAAAATCTCGAAAATATCAAACTCTCCACATCCACTTGACCAACACGAACAATTGGTATTAGATGGATACTGTGAGGTTCTAGGAATAGATGCATGTAATAGCCAAATTGCTGGCATGTTCCAATTACTTACATCACCTTTTTTAATCTTTGTTTCTTGCGGCATTCGAAACTCAAATAGAAACATCTTGATGGTTCCATAATGTCCATGGAAAGCAGGAATTCCTTCTCGATAGTACCCACAATCTCCACTGAGTTTAGAACTACCGCAACTAACGTTTGACATGATCACATATTCCTCATTTGAATCAATAAGGGTGTCTTCTGCTAGGGTGGTCGACCCATCAGCTTCGCTGACCCCATCGGAATCGGCGTACGTCAATGCTTTCCCAAGGCAGCTTGAATTCCTACCGGCTTTAGTTAAAAACGTAACGTTTTCCCTAGTTTGCAGAGATGCATCATAATAAGCCAATCTTTCCCATGAAGATGAATCGTTATTATTATACTCGTAATTATCAGAAACATAATAAGCAAAACGATTCAATACTAATGGTCCCCGGAAATGTACACTCAATTCTTCATTCAATGGTGCATTGGTTCCAGAAAACGTTACTTTATCACTACTCACTTCACATGAGCATTCATCGCTATATAAATCACTGAATTTTTCCACTTGATTATAAGTTCCTGTAAATCCTAAATTTTCAAATTCAATAACCAGAACTTCTTCCGAGTCAGACGTGGCCGTTGATGATGATGATGATGATGAATGGGATACTTGATTCGAGTCGGGGTTCGAGTTTTGGTTGGGATTGGTTCTCTGGCCCCCGGCCCCGTCTCTTTTAATTCTGGCACTCACTACGGAGATCGTTAACAATAACGCTAATACTTTCATTACTTGCAATACCTTTGCTCTCATCCTCTACAAATTGTCCCTGTATTTATACTCTTATCCATTGAAATTGGGTGACAAGGCGTGGTGTCGTCCCACTTCATGACTTCCCGGCTTACTCTGCCCTTATGTTTCATTGTTACCTTGTATTTAGCTACCTGGTGTCCCATCTAGGGATACCATGATAGATAAGCCCCCCTGTTCTATAATTATCTTTTGCCCATTTTTCCCCCGTTTTACAGCACTTCTCATATATTTCCTTCTATATCTTCTCACATATATGGCTACGTCCCAATATCGATACCGGTGTCTATACATCGTGAGCAGAACCCTGTAAGATCAGTCGTGTGCTTGAGTGCATGCCATCGCCAAAATCACAAACCAGTTCAACCGGTTTTCCGGACTTCTACGTGGTCGATGGACCTGAAGTCTCGCTGTGTTGACTCCCACATCGTCCAGCAGCTAGTGATACAAGCACAGGAGCCGAAATCAATGGAGTTTAATGAAATTTTAGTACTGAAGAAAAACCCCATGCAAAAGAGAAAAAAAAAAAACTGAAAAAAACGAAAAAAAAAACTGAAAAAAAAAAAAAAATCCATCACAATACAAAAATGTCAAAGACAGAAAAACTGAGAACGTTAGAAAATTCAGAAAATTTTCCTATTGCTTCATTTCTTTACAAAAAGGTGTACGTTCCAGGTGTTTTGTTGAAGGGTGAATCTCCAGCGGAACAAATGAAAAGTCATCCCCATCACCCTCATCGCTCGAATGGGAATGGAATCGGGAGTGGGAATGGTGTTGGCAATGGTTATACAAATGCAAGTACGAATGCAAATACGAATCTTAACTCAAGAAGTTTAAACGGGAACAGATTGAGATCGGGACTGAAGCAGAGAAGCTCTTCTTTGGACTCGACGTCTTCTACAACATCATCGAATTCATCATTGAACTCTGGTGACGGCAAAAACCAATCTTTTGAAAACAGTTATCCGGATCAATCGCATCATTTGCATCATCCTCATCAAACCATTTCATCAACCACCATCCTTCCGCCTTCCTCCATAAGGGACATCATTGCCTTGATCTTTGTACTTTTGGCATTACCAGAAATCTTATCCTGTATTATTCTTACTACGTATATACTTTCTGGTTCGTCACGTTCATTTGGTGGTCGTCTCATTGCTAAACACCTTTTGTTAAGAGACTCCTCCTTAAACTTATTTAATGAACATAATACAAACTCAAATTATAAGAGCAAGTTGATTCTGTTTTTCTTGAAAAGCTCAAGTATTCATACTTTGATTTTGGGAGTTTTCCATTATGTTTTCCCAAAGAAATTCTTTCAATACTTAATCATTTTAGCCAAATCTATCATGGCTCTGGAATTGATTGGAGCAAGCTCGTCCAGTTCAACTACAATCACTTCAATAACATCGACATCTTCGTCTGGTTTGACCACCACCACTACAACAACAACTATAAATAATGGACAATCACAACCACAATCACAATCGCAATCACAGTCACTTCCTTCTCCTTCAAATCAACAAATCAACCAACAAGGAATGAAAAAATTGACAAATCTTCCCAAAACGAATCATGAAAATAATTATTTCAGTACTCACATCTTGAATTCAATCATTTGCTTCATTTCAGTAGTTTATATCAATTATATCATCCAAGAATGGATTGTATCATTTGATTTCATCTATTTGAAAAAATTGGCTCACAACTTATTCATCATTTTCCAATCTTACCTTTCAAATTCTTCTTCTTCAAATTTTTCTTCAAACCTTAATAACGACTTGTACGATTCATCAATTCATTTTAACCATGGGATTCTAAATAAAATTAGTTCCCCTTTTCATATCACTCATAATCATTCTTTAAATCAATCTTCATCAAATTTCATGAATAAATTTATCCTTTATCTTTCAGTGAAATACCTACAATTATCAGATCCATCAATCCATTATCTTTCAACAATTTTACGTAAATGTTCCTTTTTGATTAATAATTTCTATTGGTTATTATGTATCCATGTTATAAGTTTAACCTTCACTCCTTTACTAAACAAAATCATTGTTTTGAAAGATTATTCGAAAACTTTAGATCATTTATCAAGTTTAACTCCTAATGTTCCCTTAGATTTCCGTAATAAAGCAAATTCATCAAATATTATAAATCATCCAGCCGATTCAAGTAATGATCCAATCATCGTTAATGTTGAACAAAATGATTTAATATCAACTACCCTGGCAAATGATATTTATGAAATTAATGTAAATCCTAAAATTTCAAAATCAAATTTAACCAGTTTTAAAATTAATAAATTAACTTCTGTTGCTGCTAATAATTTTGAAACTTTTTGTGTTATGCCTTTTACCAATAAAGTATCAAATTTTTTAAATTTAAAATATACTAATAATAATAAATTTACAAATTTAATTGATAATTCTAATTCAAGTCAAAAAAGATTGAATTCTAATCCTTCCACTATGATTGTTGATAAAGATTTAGTAAGTGTTATTTCGGTTCAACCATTTTGGTCACTTTTAGCTTCTGCTAAAATTATGTTTAAGAATCCAAGTTTGTTCGCTGGTGAATCAACTAAATTTAAGAATAATGGAGGAAAATTTTTCAATCAAAATTTAAATAATTTAGAATTAATTAAATTCTCAACCATATTAATTGATGATACTAAAGTTATTTTCCAAGCTTTGGATTTAGAGAAATTTAGATTAGTTTATTCAAAGTCAATTGGATTCGAAATTATTGTCAATGGTGTTTCTTGGCCATACGTTGAAATTTATGATTCAATGAATGAGGAAACAGAAAACGAATGTTCTTATATTTGTATTTATGGTTTAACTCCTTTATTTCAATACGAAATTGATATATATTATAAAACGGAATCAGAATCACTCAACTTCTTGTCACATTCTTTGGTTAATACAATTAGCGGGAGTAGTCAAACTGTTTTAAATAAGTCACCGGAGATTACCTCTTTGATGACTTTACAATCAAGTTTAATCTCAGCTATTGATAATTTGAATAATTTAAAATCTAAATTCAAAAAGACTAAGAAAGATGAAAATAAAAAAAACTCTGATTTGAAAAAAGATATTGATAATTTGAAAAATAAAATTGATAAGTACAATACAAAACAATCAAATCATTCAAATAGAAGTCAAGGAAAATTAAAAGGTTTACAACATTGGGTTTTACACATTGAAGAAGAAATTGCTTCATTAACTTCCGAACTAAATAATTCAAGCAATTTTAAAAATGACCTGGTTCATCAATTCAAAATTGAAGAATCTAAATACATTGATGAAATCAAAGTCTTAGAAGCATTCATCAATGAATACGATTCCAAAATTGGCGAGATGAAAAATCAACTAAAAGCTATTGATTTGGAATTGCAACTGATTATAATGAAGAATAAAAAACTTAAGAATAAAGAAAATTTAAGGATTGAAGAGATTAACAAAATTAATTCAGAAATTAAATTATTGAAAAAAAATGGAGTTTTGGGTAAAATTAATAAACGAAGTAAAAAAATTGAAGAAAAATTTGAGAATACCTTACCTAAGATCATTCAAGCAACTACTGATATTCGAAAGGAATTTGAAGAGTCTGTTAAAAATGAATAAAAATTTCATGATTTTAATACTTATATCTATAGATATATATATATGAATGTACATACGTCTATTTATTTACAAGAAATGCCCATGATAATGTAAATGCAAGTCTAATCCCTTAAGGAAGCACCAACTTTATGGAATCCTCGATCGTAATATAACAAACCTCCAGTTTTTGATGTTTGTTGAGAATATTTAGCATTCGGATTTAATATTTGTAGAACATTAACAACCCATATTTCATGGTTGTCGACCTCGAAAACTTGTTTCTTATTGCATACAAACACTCTTTCCAGCTCCTTCAATATCGGTATTTCAACTTCCTCATTCACTTTATGCATTATGAAGTCATTACTATCAATTTTGGTAAATGGGGTTGTCATCTCGTGAAATATTGAACCGTCATCATTAACTTTTGGTTTTGTATCAAAGTGCCTTGGATCTCTCTTAATTCCACTAGCAAATGTCCTACCTAACAAAGCAGCTTTAGGGCTTGGAGGTAGCATATGGAGTGCCAAATATCCGTCGTTTTCATGTAAAGATTTTGAAGTATACGAAGGTAGATGTAGGTTGAATTGAAGCAAAGGATTTGGATACACAGAAAGTGAGCACACCGATGATAACGTCATTCCGTGAAGGCTATTCAATCCTTTCTTTGGCTCGCAGCCTGCCGTAAGTATCATGGCCGGTGAACATATCCGAGACATGGTTACCTTGAACTCATCTTGGAATTGTGTCGAATTCAATCTTTTCAGTTGCCAGAACTGTTTATGGTGTATCAATCTGGTACTAAGTATATTCTTTTTACCAAACATTGTCTTCCTGTACTTACTTGGACCGATACGTCTTGCTATATGCTTAGAATATCCTTCAAGTTTCGACTTTTTGACGTCTTTCTAAGGTTTTTTGGAGTTTTTTCATTTGAAAAAAAAAAAAAACGGTTGCAATGATAAAACCTCCGTACACCTTATACCCCATTATAAATACATTCTCTCTTCCCATTAGTCAGGACTGGAGGTGATATGACGAGCAGTATACATGTTTAGCTGTTAGTGTACTTGTAAAAAGCTGCTTGGCTGTTTATAAGAGGTTACTTTTACTCGTCTTCAAATTGACTGCAATTTCGAGCACAAATCATACAAAATTGCCAAAAACCTGGGTAAAAATAGACAAAAACACTCTACAAACAACGTCAGACTTCCCTGTATTAATTCCAAGTATCTTCGGATCTCTATCCTCTAATTCAAGCTGCCAAAGCTGCTATTTCAGCACCGTTTTCGTATTTGAATTAACTTCACTAACAAATCAAAAACAAAAACGAAAAAAACCTGTGTGCAGGAACTATTTTGCAAAAACAAAATAAAATAAACAAAAACAACCCCATGATCAGAAAGCTCTACTGGTAATTAGATATATATCTGCTGCTTTAAAGAAACTTTTGAAGAGAGGAATAGGAGAATGCTGGACTCGTTGCCGGATTATTCAGTGCTCAAACAGGTATTCGAGACATGGCAGCAAGAGGCGCCAAAGGTCCTTCAACCTTCCAATAGAAAAAACCTACAGCTTAAGGTGCTTTCCAAGAGTGATTGTATAACATACGCGTCGACGTTCATAGAGTTGAGCTGGGGTCAGAAGTCGGTGAAGAAGTATTCGCAGGAGCAAGTTCTCGAGTTGGCACCTATGGCATTCAATTGCATTTATAGTCTGCTCAATGATAGAGAAGAAATCTTTCGAACAATAAAGAAACACCAGGTTTACATCATTGATTTGATTGGGACGAAGAAGTTTGAGCTGGCGCTAGGCCAAATAAGTAGCGTAAGCAGGATCCTTCGTAAGCTTGTTGGTATAGATGCCGATATTGAAATCAGAGATACTTTTGTATTGTCATGCATTCCAAAATCTTCAAACTTTGAAGATGATCCTCAACTCGTCAGCATAATTATTGCATATTATTTTTTGGCATTTCAATCATGGCTTCAGTATATCATTGCTAATCTTAAGGTGATTTCTCAAAATAAACACCCGGTATTGAATTTCTCCCTTTTCATCAAGATAGCATCAGCTTTAGATTCTTCTGGCGAATTTAGTAAATGGATGAAGCATTGTTATACTGAAAATGTGGGCAAAAAAGAAAAACATTTTCAAAATCAATTGAAAATCATTTCAGGGTTTATTAAAACTCTTACCTTTCTCAAAACAAAAATAGATAATATAGAATTGAAGACGTCGCTTTCAGCTTTTGAAATAAAATTAATAGAACTACAATGCATAAGTCAACAAGAGATTTCTTTAAATTTACTTGAAAAGATTGAACTAAACCATTTTACCATCACATTTATAAAAAACCTTCAATTGGTTTCAAAAGACTCCAGTATGGCTAAGAGACTTGATGATTTATTAAATTCTCAAGATACTCTTCCATCTTCCATCAATTTAATAGACACTATAGAGACTGCTTCCTCTCGACCCAACATTAATACAATGAGGCAACTCTCGACTGCCCTCTTGTCATTCCCTCCTTCACCGTCGCTATTCAAGGATTCTTATTTCTTATCTTCTTTCAAATCCCTGAACGAAAGAATTACACAATATCATAGTGATTTTGCCACTACTTACTACTCCTTAATCATTGACTTTATTACTCAAGGCTTTTTGGAATTGGAATCGATTTCCAAACAGCATTTACAAGTTCTCGATCCAATAACCATTTTCATTAGAAACTCTATCGATTCTTTTGAAAAAGATTCATTCCCTCTTATTTCAAAATTTTTGAACTATCAGTATTTGGTTTTTGCAAAATTTGGAGATTTAAAAAGAGTACGTAATCTTTCTCATCTATACTTCAATTTAGGTAAAAGAAACCACTCTTTTGATTACTGGGAAAAATCTTTCGAATATGAAGTCTTCATTTATACATATGGCAAAGAAACTCAGACTGATGAAAATTTATCGATCCTTCAAAACAAACTTGAAAAAATCCTTAATATTTTGAATGATGATAATAAACCAAAAGATTGTTGTGTTATCATTTCAACTTTCCTTTCTATATATGAAAAGGCTAAAAATGTTCCTAACGAAAAAGTTGTTTCAGCTGTTAATTTATTTGATATGCCATTGATCATCCAATTAATAGTAAAATGCTTGGTATCTGATAAATCTTGTCTGGTTTATCTTATAGGAAATTCTAGTTTGTTATCAGACAATATGAAGGCAGTATTGTTTATAAAAATTTGTCAATTTTTGGAGAAGTCTAATAGCGTATCACAGAAGACTCTTATAATTAATGAACTAGCTAGAGATTTATATTTGTCCCAATTAGATGCAACAATTATTTGCAATTATCATTATTATATTTTAAATGGTGTTCAGTATGAGATGTCAGATGTTCGTGGTCCCGACACTCAAGTATTACTCTTTAAAGGTGGAATTGAACTACAAAAATTGGTTCACTCAACCTCATTCAAAACTAGTGAAATTTATATCTGTGTTGGTTTATTCAAAAAATGGCTAGAAGTATCTGCTGAAAGTGAGGTTTTACTCTACAGAGATTATGAATTTGAAATATTGAAATCTTTCGTTGCTTTCTTGAACTTCAACCAAATGTATGATGAATTAATTGAATTCTGCGATTTCTATAAAGCTAACAGAAATTTTGAAGGAGTTTGGTTTCAAAGAGTTAAGCTTTTTTTGGACATTGAATCCTGTGACGCTAGCTTAAGATTAGGGCTTATAGATCAAGCGCAGGAATATTTAAGAGCATCAGGTACCCTATTGAAATACTTATCAAACTATACAACTAACGACAGAAAATTAACTAAAATATCAAATCAAGATATTGTCCACTGGAAGCTTCTCCAAATTAATTGCTCCATTTTGATGAATAATCACGAACAAAGTGTCCAAAGATTTAAATCAATAACTAAATTTTTGGAAAGCAAATCCGAATTCAACTTAAAAGAACATGTTCCTGGTATCACCATAGAGAATCGTTTCATCAATATGATTTTGCTTGCAAAACTCCACATTTCTACTTGTAATCTCCTAATTCAATCAAACCAATACATTGAATCATTCATTGGCTGTAAAATGACATTAAAAATCCTTCATTCCGTCGTCAAAAAGCTTCCCAATAATATTCCAAAAGATTTTTATAATCACATGAAGTGGAAAGCTGCGGATTTGTTATTTCAATGTTATGAACTAATACTATGTGTGATGAAGCATTTGGGAATCACCAGAGATTTTTCTTACTATATTGGAGAAATAACAAATTTGAATTCTTCCATATCTGCTCCTTTTTCAAAATGCATTAATAATTATTTTGCTGCAAAGAATCAAATTATAATTCACGAATTTGAAGATGCTTCGATTGAGTTGAAGAAGGCTTCTTCCAACATTCAGCTTCTCAATGAAAACTATTTGAAAGCTCCGGAAGCTCAACTAAACATTATGTATAAAGAACTCACCGGAAATCTGGCTGTACTGAATGACACATTGGACTCATGGAATTTGTCCGATTTAACTAAGTTGTTACATAACGATTCTCTCAAATCCTCCTTAGCATACCTTTCTGTGACGAAGTTTCCAGTATTAGATTCAGCATATTTACTTTCCTTAAAGGGTAAAGGTCAAATTGAGTTTTTGGACGAGGATGTTTCAGAAGATAAACATAGGTCAGTTATCAAAATTTTGATGAAAGTAAAAAGAGAGCTATTTATCTGTCAGCTGCTATTATCATCTTTACCTCTTATGTCCACCTTTTTGGACACTCCATCGTCAATTCCATGCATGTCTACAAAGTTTGGTACAAAAGCTGATTCCGATACAGTATCAACTATAGTCGATAAACTAATACAAACAAAGCTGATATTATTCAAATCAGCACAACGCGGTTACTTGAAGTTCCTTGATAATCATGAGTTGCATGATTTTGGTAAGTGCCTATCTCTTTGCTTATCGCATTTGTCGTTAATTAGAGAGTTAAAACCTTCTTCTACCTCTCATTTAACCCGAACATTACTTTATTTACAGGACCTACCACGACAATATCCTTTTTCAAATGACAAGCGGGCATATGCTATGGATGCGGAAGCAATTATAGGAACTAATGAACTTTTACCTAAATTTTGTCCCCTCCCTATCGAAACAGATAACATAGATGAATCTGCCGATGTGTTTATTTCAGAATTAATTAGCTTTTTACCTAAGAATTGGTCGGTGATCACCTTAGATATCTGTCCATTGAATGGTGATCTTTTAATATCAAAAGTTACCTCCTCTTCTTCAATCCCATTTTTCTTGAGACTTCCATTGCTGAGATTCAATTCAAGAAATTTCAAGAATATAAACTTTTCCTTTGGAGACTTAGAAGTTGAATTTAAGACGCTCATAGAACAAAGTGCATTATCAACGAAATTCTCCACAACTTCCCAAATAAAAACTAAAGAGGATCGCAGAAAATGGTGGAAATTGAGATTCGGCTTGGATATGAACTTGAAAAACATGTTGGATATAGTTGATAAACATTGGATTGGAGGATTTAGAGGAATCTTTACTACGAACGATATGTCAGAAAATGAGATTTTTACAAATTTCATAAGGGAGTTAAACAATATATGGCAGGATACTCTTTCAGTTGCCTCTATAAATTCTTTCGAGATTGGTTCAACGGTGGCATACTTTTTTTATAACCTTGCTCAAGATATAGATGATTTTTGTGAATTTGCCTCACCAGACTTGGATGACCTTATACACTTTGTTTTGGAGACAAATAATTATCATCACCAGATTAACATATTTGATTTGGTTAATATTGATCAATTGAGATCATCTTTGCTAGAACTTTTAAAATCATACTCCAGTACCAAAGAAGCAATTAGGGCTTGTCAAATGTCTGACAAAGAAGAGCACATTGTATTGGTCCCAAGTTTCAAATGCAACTTCTTTCCCTGGGAATCACTCGAATGTATGAGAGATCGATCTGTGTCAAGAATGCCATCCATCTCTTCGACAATTCAATTGTTGAAATCTAAAAAGAGCTTGAAAGTTTATTCAGAAAACAAGAATGAGTTATTTTACTTGATCAATCCTGGAGGTGATCTCACCCGTACAGAAAATAAATTTAAACCCTTATTTCAATCAATTGATAATAGTTATGGAATGTTTGGAGTAAAGCCACAAGAAGAGAATTTCGTTGAAGGATTATTGACCAGTGATCTTTTTGTCTATTTAGGACACGGCGGCTGCGAGCAATATGTCAGACCATCATCATTATTGAAAACAGTCAATTCATCCCCCTCACAGAAACTACCACCTAGTCTTTTGGTTGGTTGTTCCTCCGGCAAGCTTCATTCAAACGGATTCCTCGAACCAAATGGTAACGTTTACGATTGGCTTATTTGCGGATCGCCGATGATATTGGTAAATCTCTGGGATGTAACTGATAAAGATATTGACTCGTTCAGCTCGTCAGTATTTGAAAAATGGGGGTTGCTTAGTTCCTCTAGGACTGACTTTAGCATCTCTGAGGCAGTTTCTGCGTCCCGTGATGAATGTACCTTAAAGTACTTGAATGGGTCTGCGCCTATAGTTTATGGACTTCCTTTGAAAATTAGGTAATGTATGTTTTTTTAAAAAAGAAATAAAAGGCACACGTTCAAAGAGTAGCTTCTTATAATCCACCGTAGCTAAAAGCTCTTATGAAAAATTTAATCTTACACATACTTAAAAACATAGCTAATCATAATTTAAAATATTTGTTTAAATAAAGGTTGAGTAATGGAGAGACTCATCTGGATTTCAAAGCTAATTTGATGAAAGTTCAAGGCTTTCACGTTGAGATTTTGAATTCGGATCGAATTTGACTGGACCTAAAGTAATAACTCTTGTTCCATGTCTTTTTTCAGTCTCATCATGTTCATCAAAAGGGATGATTACGTGTTGAGAAATACGGTTATCCCATATAGCGGTAGTTTGCAGACCTTCAACGTTTGGCTGCCAATGAAATCTTACCTGAATATCCAAATTTTTCTCGTAAACATTGAAAAGGAATTCCAAAATAGTTTTAGATTCGTCAGGTTCTAAACCCACAATCCTGACGGTCATTGAACGGTTGACATAGAGTGACTTCCATCCGGTAACAGGATGAGTGAAAACCAAAGGATGTTCTCTTTCGATATATTTTGGTCCTCTTAAAGGGTTTTCTCGATCAAGGTAAGTATGAGCTGACCTAAATATTGCAGTTTTACCGTCTAAAAAAGCTTGAAAGGCTGGCAGAAGCTTATCGTAAGCTCCATATCCAGAAGCCCATATAGTGTCACCGTCGTATTTAGGGAAAGCGTCTATTGTTAAGGAGGTATAAGAGGCTGGATTACGTTCATGAACAACATCCGTATGGAAAGAATATTGTCGATTTTTGAAACCATTATTAAAGCCATAGTATTCCTCGAAGAATTTTCTCCATACAGTTGTGATACCACTACCTTTAGCCAAATCTTCAGTTGAATCTTCAGTGATATTTTCGCTTAAAGGAACGTAAGGGGCTTGAGGGTGTCTTTCAATTTGTCCCCAATATCGACCAATTTCCAATTGTTTTTGAGGCGAGATATCTTGATCTTTAAAAAAGACAACAACTCTTTCGGCAACCAACAACGCTAATTCGTCTCTTTGTTTGTCGGTCAATTCAGAAAGCTGTAAGCCAACAAGTTCAGTTCCAACAAATTTGGTTAAATGCTTAACTTCTTTTGCAGCCTTGAATAGAGCCTCTTTTTTTGGATCGGCAAATTTAGCACGATCCTCGAAGGGATAATCTGTATTTCTTATTTCAAATGCTTCATCAACATAAGTTGGGATATCTTCTGGATTTGGAATAATTGGGTATCCTTTTGATAAATCGATTCCGTGTTTCTGAAATCTTCTACGAGTTGAACCAGGTAATTTTTCTACCCATTCTTTTGCAGTTCCAGCCTTAGGTGCATTATTAGAAGAACCATGGCCAAGCGGTTTCAAAGAAACTAACTTACGAACTGTTTGGTCGATTTCATTATCATGTTCTCGAGGAACTATACTAGCAGCAGTAACTGGAGCCATATTCAGTATATGGAGAAGTATAATTTAGTTGGAAATGATTTTGAGGGAAATTCATTTCGCTTTTATAAAATTTCAGAGACGGTTCAATGTTCCGTTGCCGTTTAGGGAGTACCCTTTAACGTACATAGCCATATACGAATGGTCTTATAACAACGGACTGTGGATTCATAAAACCCAAACCCGTAGTCAAAACTGAGGTTGGGTGCGAATTTAATATTTTTATTTTGGTTTATCTTTATTACAAGGGCTGTGGCTGCAATATCAATATTACAAATCTAAAATGTAGTTTTACTATAAAACTCCAGAGATAATTGGCCATGGTTGCTTAAAAATTCTCGAATGGTATTTAGCGTACATCTATAAAGCGATATAAATGTTGTTTATCAAATACTTGGTATACTCAAGCCCTACTTCCAAGGTGTTTCAGATAACTAAAAACGAGTTGGCTTGTGAGCTTCGAACTGCTTCGGGTTTTTGAGCTACGCCGTAAAAGCATGTCGTTGAGCTTTAACAACCTAGTACTTGATGATAATTGCAAACAAACGTGTAGAAAACTACGTCGGTAGATATTATTAATTTTTTATCATATTCTATAGATCTATAAGCATTAATATAATGCAGTGAAAAAATGATTTGGACGTGAAAAAGAAAGCAAAAAAAGGTGAAAAAAATAGCTTTTATTATGAAAACCCAAAAACTTAGGGTATAATAAAATAAACCGAAAATATTCGACAGATCGAATAACAAAAACGTGACAGAAAGAAAAGGTAAATCATCAGGACTTCATTAGAGGAAAATACTCAAAAATAAAGCCAAAGCACTGAGAATTGTAGGAATTTGGATTGTTACACCACCATCATAACTGATTACAGAATAAGAAGCCATATTTGGAGACTTAGAAGTTGAAATGGTTAATGTAGTACTGTCAAATTTGGTATAAGCAGCTGCAACTGACTGGGAAATACCTGTGACTTGAGAATCAGCATCTCTAGTTGATGCTTCATTTGAGTCAGCAGCATTACCACCTAGGCTATTATCAGCTTCCGGGATTGACGATTCTAAACCACCAATTTCATCTCCAGAGGTCGATCCATCATTAGAGTTGTATCCAGGTTCAGACTCATCATTCGAGCTATTTCCGAAGTTGTTAATAGAGTTAGATCCTTCGCCTGAGTTAGATTCAGGTCCATTGTCTAAGCCTTCTGGGCTCGGGGAATTGCCCGAGTCAGGGCTTATTAATGATGATGACAAAGACTCTGGTACTGAAGTACTTGAAATAAGTTTCCTAATGCTAGAAGAAAACGCACTTGAACTTTCAAGAGACGCAGTGGTTTGAGCGATAGTCATACTTGTAACATCAGGGGCTGAAGTGCCACTGGACGATGCTAAGAGAGAAGTGGATCTAGTCAAAGTGGATACATCGGGAGAAACAACATTCGTTCTGGTGCCTCGGGTAGCTGAGGCGCCAGTAGCTTCACTAGCAAAGGAAGCAGATACTGAGGAAGATGGAGAGCCAGTGACAGAAACGCTGGCTCTAGTAAATGAAGCAACAGTAGTCAATGAACCGTATATAGTAGATGAAACACCTTTGGTTAAATCCATAGAGGTAAAACTTGCAGTTTGGGAGATTGATGAAGCAGGGAACTTATGACCAGTTCCCGATACTTTCCTAACACTAGAAGGAGAATGGATTGAACTAACCGGTGCAGAAGATACCATAGAATCCGTGCTGCCGACAACTTTAGTAGCCTCATCCGGGAGCACAGATGCTAAAGACGTAACCGACATAGAAGCCGTAAACGAAGACTCTTTGCGATTTCCTTTCCCACTAGATGATGGTAAACTAGAAGAAACAACAGATGCCGATACAACAGCAAACGAGAATCTCGAGTAAAGACCTTGACAAGACGATGCTAAAGTTGACGAAACAGCAGAAGACGAGAATCTGGAGTAAGGATTTTCACTAGATGATGGCAAAGCTGATGCGACAACAGATGATGAAGCAATAGATGATGAGAATCTAGAGTGAGGAGCTTCGCTGGATGATGGTAAGGCTGATGGAACAACAGATGATGAGAATCTAGAGTAAAGATCTTCACTAGATGAAGGCAAAGCTGATGCGACAACAGATGATGAAGCAACAGACGACGAGAATCTAGAGTAAAGATCTTCACTAGATGATGGTAAAGCTGATGAAGCAACAGATGATGAGAATCTAGAGTGAGGAGCTTCGCTGGATGATGGTAAGGCTGATGAAACAACAGATGAGGAGAATCTAGAGTAAAGATCTTCACTAGATGATGGTAAAGCTGATGAAACAACAGATGATGA